AAACAGCAACAAGAATTGGAGAAAGAGGCGAAAAGATCACATTTGACGCTGGAAAAAACACAGAAGACTTCCGAGAAGCGAGAAAGATCGTACAAGGCAAAGCTGGAGGCTTTGGAGAAGCAGGTAATTATTTGGAAAGTTTCAACCTGACCGTATGTATAGTCTTTTAATTAATTTGTTTGATATCCTGAGGTCACATGACCCTTCACTTTGGGAGTAGATATACATCGTACGAACTGGATTAGGAGACTCCATCTCTGTTCCCTTATTTGTCTCCAGATCTCAGCAGTGTTTTTCGCTATAAAACAGTGAAATCAATTAGGCTTTTTAATTTATGTTCTAGGTTACTTTCCTCCAAACTGAACTCCACAATGAACGAGAGCAGAAAATGGTGCAAAGTAACAAAGCTGCCATAAAAAGCGATGAAATACGAGAGGTTCGGCAGTCTTTAGGCAAATCACTCCAAGCAGTCGAAGAGGACGCGAACAACCTTCGCAGTATGCTGGGAAAATCTCTTCGTAAAATCGACCGTTACACCGAAGCTATCCGACGAAACGAACCACCTCTACCATCCACTGACACAGAGGGATCAACCGTAGATACGTTTCCCCGTCAACAAATCGATCAATTATCGGAAGAGGCGAAGTATCCCCGATCATCGAAGAGAGGAACGAGGTCGACCTCACATACGAACTCTAGGGAACGAAGCAAATCTCATGGACTGCCATCCTCTACTCGTGCCCCATCTTCGGGTGTTATTATGAGCAACTCTAGAAACGATTACGAAGGTGTGGCGTTAGAATTATCTCCCGAAATTCACTCCCCGCTTAGGCGGTATAGAAGAGATAGGAAATCTGTCAATTAATATCAAAGGTGTGTGCATCTTACTACAATGTGTTAAATGGACCGTTGCGTGCAACCGTTTGAGAGAAAAAGAAAAGAATGAATTGTTTAAGAAATGCTTAAATCAATGCAAATCGTGATAATTTCGTCTTGTAAAGGAAGCCAGAGGTAATTTTAATAATGTGTATAATTTAAATTCGCACGAGTCGAAATCAAATATCTGTAAACTGCGTGATTGCCGACGCATTTTCAATTAAATAACATTCCAACTGAATTTATTCGGATTAAAATAGTTAGGCAGGATATAACCGTGTTTTAGAAAATAGAATTGTGATTTTTTGGCTTATGCGCCTGAGATCGCTTCTGTTCACGCTATGTACAGTAATATTTCTTGATCATTCTGTGACTTCATCTACAATCCTTCTTTTCAGATTGTAGATATTTTATTGATAGGGTTTTTATGATGAAGGTATCATTCGTGACCCTGTACACAGTCATGCTTTTCGACTTCAACCTCTCAGTTTGTCAACACTTATGGTACAAAAGATTTCATATTCGTCGTAAGAGAGAGTTTCGATCTATCTATAAGAGAAAATTATACGTGTACTTAGGATAACACCAGAAGAATGCACAATTTGTAATAATACACTTTAAACTTCCGTCCATAATCATATTTTGTGATGTTCGTATCTACGGTGCGTTTTTTTTTCAATGAAACGTGTCCTCTCTGATTGCTTTGCAACTTTCAACGATAGTTTTGTTGCAGAATTGATAGAGGTTACCCTGTGTTGATCCAGCTGAGTTTGTTGTAGCGTGCATTTAGATTAAACCGATCTCCTCACAGTATCAGCTGATTTTCGAAGCAGCAAATATCTTCAAGGACTATTCCAGTGTACTTTAGTTGACCGAAGCTAGGGTGGGAGGAAACAGATTTATCACTGGGGGTCTTCCCAGTCGAGATCCCCGGCCCGAAAGGATCGGCCATGTTAGTGTTAGGAATTTTACCACTGAAGCCATAGAGAAGGTTGACGGAAGGGGCACTTTGATGAAAGGAGATGCTATGGCGGACAGCGGCCGAAAGGGTGCGTGGTCATTAGAAAATGCTTTAGGGATGTGAAACGTCTTATTGAAATCAAAGAAAAGTTGTTTCTAAATTCTTTCGAAATCGGATCAAACGTGTCGGAAAGAAGTGTAGGAATTTTGTCTCAATAGAATACATCAACCTTAGAACCACTGAATACACTCCAACAGACCCTCCCCCCTCCCCTCAACTCAAGTATGGACCCTTCCCCCCCACCCCCCAACTCAAGTATAGACCCTCCCCCCCACGCCCCAATTCAAGTATAGACCCTCCCCCCCACCCCCCAACTCAAGTATAGACCCTCCCCCCCACCCCCCAACTCAAGTATAGACCCCCCCACCCCCCAACTCAAGTATAGACCCTCCCCCCACCCCCCAACTCAAGTATAGACCCTCCCCCCCACCCCTTAACTCGATTTGACGGCTTCCTTTTCAGAAGAGTTGGACAAGTACATTCATACTTGAAAAATAACCACTCGTTCTTTGACTATTCTTTTAACTAGATTTGGTGTTTGGTTGTTTAGAAATACAAGATAACTTAACCGTACTCTCTTTTGTTTTCCATTAGAGAGAGGTCAGAGTTGCGTTACCGTACGGGCATGGAGTTGTCGTACGGCGACACAAGTAATAATCATTCTATTTGTTTTCAGATTTCCAATGAAAGAGGGAAGTAAATGGACAAGCAATGTGGTTTCTCCTCCGTTTTAAAAGCACGTCGTGTCGGCCAGTGAAATCTCACGGGTTAATTATGTTTACAAAGTGATTTTGTCTTATGCAAACGAAGCTAGCAGTTAATAATTATTTCGACCATCTGTTAACGCGGCAGCTAGGCAACCATTTGTCCTTAAAAGAATGTTATCGGATTAGTACGGAGTTTATTTTGAGGTTGCCTTCTCAGGTTTGATACACTTTGAATAGTAAACTTCAAGTTCAACGAAAGTTTGAGGTTGCTAAGATCTTGCGGTCGCGTGAATTCAAATGGAGCAAATACAATTGTTCCTTTTGTATTATAGAGATTTCTAAAGAAGCAAAACACAATGGCGGATATTGTCATCAAAAATGGTTACAACGGCTTCGACAACAAAGGCCATAATCCTAAGAAATTTAGCAAACCTCTTCTGTCGTTCAAGAACAGACTACCACCATTGCCAAACGACAAAAGTAGTGTGGTTTCGTCCGAACGCGGCTTACATTCTCCTTTCCTACAAGGTTCGCTGTCAGATCACAGCAATACAGATATTGTTATTTTGTTGGACGACGAACTTAAACGAATTCGCCAATTGAGCAATAACCTTGGGATAAACCAACGCTACGAAATAGCTCAATATCACAACCGCTTTCACGGCCTCAAACAAGGCCGACTACCGCAGATAGAGAGCTCAAAATGTTGGAGACAGAGTCACAACTGGATAAAACGAAAGGATAATATTGATAGACATGACACTCCAAAATTCCAGACTGGTTTTAATTTCAAAGCCGCGGAAAAATTCAGCGTGGATTTGGACAGTTTGCCGAAGGGAGGAAAGAAATTACTTAAACCTGTCGATATACCATCGCTTGGGTGTTCGTACAGGTTGCCGATACCCAAGGAACAAAAACAGAGAACTACTAAATGACAATAACACAGCGCCTCGGGACATTTGGTGACTTTGCTAGTGTCGCATGTATTATCATAGCGAACTACTAACTCTTTAGGTCCTTCACTTGGTGTATTTCGTGTTTTTTTTAAGTCCTCAATTTGTCGAGCCGACGCAAGTTTATCGAAATGAGTGCTTTTTGACGGAAAGATTGGAGAATGTGTGCGGTAATCAGATCAACTACAGAAATGAACATCGAAAAATAGTGCATGTGCTTGAACATGAGAATTGTAAATTCTGTTTATTTATGCTTCAAATAAGGTTTCCTTTGAGGTCGACTTAGTGCTATATCTGATCTTTGCGATTTATTCGAACTGAAAGTAGAGTAAACGGGGTTCATGAAGAAAACAGAACACTGAATGCAAACTATACACATGTAACTAAGATATTATAATTCAGCCGTTCAGTGCTTTCTAGCAGTTCGCTGAATCGCGAGAGTTACGACAACGCGGACGCAAGAAAACCGCGAATCCTTGCGTTAACAAAAAATTCTCTTTGAGCACCTTTCATCGTCAAGTGAAAGGAAATTATGATAAAATTGGTGAATTAATTCACAAATTTAGCTTTTGTACAGCGTAGGAGTGAATGTTGAGGATACAAATATGAAAGAAAAGTTTAATTCTTACTGTCCGTAATACAATTCACTGACGTCATCCCAGGTCTGATATCTCCGTCAACCAACGGAGAGCCTCTTCTTCACATCTTGACCCTGTCAGCGGAGAGCCTCTCTTTTACTTCTCGACCATGACAGCGGAGAGCCTCTCCTGATAAATTACTAGTTATATAATCAGCCTCCTCCATCTCTCATGTTTTTCATATTTTGATATAGCGCTTTAAAAGGAAATGTTATAAAAGTAAAAGTAGATGCAAGCGATACATATGTTCATCTGTACTTTTAAATATTTTCTTTATCATCTGTTGTGTTCCTTTACCCTCACAAGTTAATCATTTTCTCTTATTACTCAGCATTTATCTTGGTCTAGCACATAGATCAATGCCAATCAACTATCTCAATGAAAGCGACAGAATCAATTTGACCTAGAATAGCTTAATTCAGAATAGTTTAATCAAAGCCATGGCTTCATCTTACCCCATAATGACAACAGATGATAGGATCTAGGTCTTACAATTTGTTTAGCACCAGTGAATCAAGTGATTAATCAATTCATTCACCTATTTCTCGAGTAACCCTTGTAAGCCTTTGAGATCCTTCAGTTCATATATTGAATTGAGGAAATAGCCAATTTTGGTTATCTCCACAATTAAGCACTAGGTGTTGAGGTGCCCACTTTCCGCCTTTTTGATTGCGACGTCATTTCCTGAAAACTCAGAGAGTCCTTGGCAAATATTTCAAGCTGTTATAGTATGCTTTAGCGAAATAGCACCGTGCATCTCAATTTGATATTATGTTGACTGAATTTGACCAACAGCTCACTAATAAAAACAATCACTGAGGCAAATTTAGCGATGCTTGAGTCCTGCAGAGAAAAAAACTGCAGATTCTCCGACAGATCGAGCCATACGCCTCGTAGAAGTCTCGGATTCTGAAAGTGTAGATTGCAAAGTTCATGGCAGAATTTGACAGAGCAAGAGTCCTGATCCACATGTGAGCCACTCCCTGAGGCTGGATAAGCGGCTTACCTGCCACGAACAAGGTGATAACCAGTGGAAACCAGCAAGCAGTGAAAACAGCGATTACTATCGCCAGCGTGCAGGCCACACGCGCCTCAACTCGAGAAGTGACGTGTACGGACGGTGTCTGACCTTTATTCTGGCGTCTTTTCTTCTTTAATCTGATCAAAAATATCATGATCAGCGAATAGGACACTATAATGATGATGTAACTCGCGGCGAAGGTCCCTGCTCCAAGAAAAGCTTTTGGGAAGGAATCTGGAACAACGGCGCTAATGACAGGAACCGCCAAGGAGAAGGTCCAACAAGCGATGATCATAATCTTCAGCCCGTACTTCTGCATCATGATCTCATGACCGAGAGGATACATCACGGCTAACAGACGATCCACACTGATCGCTGCCAGGTGCACCACTGAAGCAGAGCAGGACACTCTGGATGTTATCTTGTACAATAGTTCCAAGTTGGCTGCACAGTCCTTGACGAACGTGATCTTAGCGAGGATGGCTACAACAAGAGGCTCACAAACCATGGTGACGATCAAATCGGCGATGGCTAAGCTGAAAAGAAGGAAGTTTGACGGTCGGCGAAGACGAAGATTTATGGAAACTGCCACGCAAACCAGTATGTTACCAAATGTTCCCAAAACACACAAGATAGAATTGATTGATATCAGGGTGATACCATGAGCAACTGAGAGAGAACATTCTTCATGCGAGACATTAAACGCTGGATGATTAACAGTGACATTCATAGCATCTGAAAACGTTGCACGACACTGAGCGAAGGAAACACGAACTTAACACAACAGTTAATGTTGTTCGTTATAACCAAGTGCTTATGACAATTTGGTAAAGGCGAGGCAGGAACTAAAAAAAGAAAGAGAGTGTGGGCGGGAAAGTAGATTATAAGGTCAATATTGGGATCAATATTAGTATCTGGGCAACTGCCCACCTACCCCTCCCCTAAACCAAAATTAAACTTAACTTGTTGTCAATTGACTGTTGTTGAGTTAGGGGAGGAGTAGGTGGGCAGTTGCCCAGATACTGATATTGATCCCAATATTGTCCTTTGCGCTACAACGCCTCGGCATCGTTATTCGCCCAGTACTGGTTTACCTGCTTTACACGGAAAATTAATCTTAATTTTCCGTGTAAAGCAGGTAAAAATTCTTAATTAACTGACTCGAAATGATAAAGATATTTCTTAGTCACGTTATGTGTGTGAAATTCTATGAAAAATTTAAAATTGCTCTTATTTTAGCTAACACGGCTGGTTTTTTAATATCGACGGTCAATATATTTTCAAATGTTTCTTCAGAAAACCTCGAATAACACATTAAGATAATGATGTTGTTGTTTGAATGGAATAAAATTAATCTTGGCCAGATTCCAACAGCCCATTTAGTTCTAAATTCCTCTCATTCTTTATTATACCTAGAAAAAATTCAATTGCGATAAAAGAAAATTGAAAAATGCACAAATTATGTATTACCCCTCCCTTGCTTTGAACTCAAGACGCTCCTTTCGAAGCTCTTGTAATTGGCCAATATAAACTGAATAGTTTGCAAGGCAGATACAGGCGGGTAGGAAGTAATCAACCTTCTGTTCACCGACAAATGAGGTGGCTCTCAAGCTTAATTAGTTCATTTCAAAACATTAATGACCAAAATTAAGCATATTATTATGCGCTTCGAATATCTAGCAAGATAGTAAGCAAGAACAACTCTAGCCTGCTAAGTGAGACTAGTATCAATATTAGAGACGTTGAGTGTGTTGCGGAATACTGACTGGTTCGGTATCTTCTGTTCGGTTTCTTTTCCCTTCATTCGGGCACTGTCTTCAGACGGCACTTGATTTGTCGGCCTGTCGGGGGTTGTGACGGAGCTCTTTAATCTCCTCACCGCACTTTTCGTCCACCAATTGGCCTCCCTCTCTTCATTTAATGTTCCACTTTCTCCTTCTTCCCGGTAAAATTTTAACACAATCACTCTTTCGTCAGTTAACTCATTCCATTTTTCACTAATACGATTGCTCGTGGCCTCAGCAAAAAGTGGTAAAAGTTGTATTCTTTCTCCGTTGATAAACAAACCAGATTCTTCGTCGCGCGAGATGAGTTTTTCTTTGAAAACACAATTTGCTTTAGCGGGATTTGTTTTGAAGCAATGTTTCTTTTTGTGAACAGCTAGGTTACGTTTAAAAATGATTCCGTCGTTTGTCACAAAGTCAGTTCATTTACCCGTTTAGCACAGTCCGTCGTTCAGTTTCCATTGCATGCTCTCGGGCTGTAATCTTTCTAAATCATTTGGTCACGGTTTAGACCGATCTGTATGCGCAAAGAATAGTTTTTTTCCCCAATTCGAAATGCTTTCGTAATCTTTTGCATGATGTGACAGTTACGTGACAGGACTTTGTCACTTTTCCTTTTATTCTACAAACAAATGCAATCTGTTTACAGAGTAAGACCGGGAGTGATGAGAAAATTACAAGACGCACTTTCAGGGCGAGAATTCTCTTAAAACCTCTTTTCCCGTTTAAAATAACAACAGCTCTAGTTTGTTAATTTCAATAGAGAAATTTCTTAAAAAATAAGCTTGGGATTTTTTCAAAGAGAAATAGTTGATTGCATAAATTAAAACTTACTTGAGGGGACTGAAAATGTTGAATAACAGCAGGAATTACGTAGGCCATTTGCCAGCCCAACATTCCCTCCAACAACTGAAAAAGCCTGCAGTAAAATGATAATTGGCCCTTAATGACACCGCCTTAGCCCGTCAAGGTGTTCATTAGGCTCTGTGAATGTAGAAAACTAATAAGTCTAATTATGGTTGCTGTTTTGTCAAGTGAAAGGCATTTTGCAAGACCGATTCGCGATTGAAGGGGCTTCAAAATTCTCATTTATAACCATCAATAAGTTTCCGCTCGTCCACATAGCTATTGGTATCGTAGTCACAGATGCTACCAAAACGAATCGCTTCCACCGCCTTTGCCATACAGCCATTACTGGCAAATTCTGATAACGAGTTTCGATCGCCAGAGATGCACTCGTGAAGAACCATTCAATCACCATCTGAACTAACACAGTAATGGAAAAAGATCGGAGCAAGGTTAAAAGGGAATCGTTTTCTAGGTAAAAATATTGATAAAAGAATAAAAAGCCGTTGACAGAAACTATAGCAGTTGATTCAAACATCATGCTCATGATGGCGATGTCGGCCATTAGTCTTTCGCGACGAGGAGTACGAAAACTTCCCCAAGAAGCTAACTCTCTTCTCCACAATTGGTGACAACAATGATCAACTGCTACCATTACACTTCGTTCCACGACTTCTGTTATGCCATGGATAATTCCCAGAGCAGCAATATACAGCAAACTGCCCAGTTCCGCTTGTAAGACTCGAAAAATAACCGCTGTACTAAAGTACAACGGCGCAAGCAAGATATATGAATATCCCGGATGTGTAATGTTCCATAACCGCTGAACACATATACGTGAAATGACTTTAGCAGTCACACCAATGAGAGGGGAGAATATGGCGATTAACAACCTACCATGACCACTTTTATGTTGCCATTTATAAGCGGGGTAAATAAAATATACAGCAGCGGAGGCGACAGTAAACGCGAAAATTAATGGTGTGACCAGCTTACATATCAAACTGGCTTCTCTTGGTCTTGAACGCATGCCAAATTTCCTCGCAAGATAACACAACTGGAGGCAATAACTGGCTGCATACAACACGTACATAGGAACTTTATATACAGAGGACTCCAAGAAGAAAGGTCTTCCTATGACTTGTAAAATAACGCGATAAAGTGCGTCAAAACAGTAAAAAAGACAACATATCAGGACCAAGTTGGTTTTCAATCCTTGTATCTGGTGTTGCAGGAAAAGTAATATCGTATGACAAAAGCTACAGACATAAAAGATGCCACAGGCGATGACGTCACATTCTGTTATGGTCCATTGTACACTATGTGGAATTAATTTCTTTGGGAAGTATTTACAATGTGCGAATGTTTTATAAGAAACATATGAAAGGAGCAGATATTCTGCACCTAAGATGGTGGCAGCGAGGAGCGAAATGAGAGCTCCAATGTACAGCGACTTGGATATGGTGTGAAGGAAAGATGGTCTTAATCGCTTCCACGCCATAGCCCTGTCTTCTTGCTGATTGCCAATCGATTTGGGTGTTTCCTCTTCCTTGGTACAAAAAGCGTCTACAACCGTTACATTGATACTCCTAGCTGCCAGATAGCTTGTGTTTATGCCTTTTCTGTCGTCGTACTCCTGATAAATAAATTCATCGACTGGATAAGAATACCACTGTCGACGTGAGTCTTCTAAATAATTAAATCCAAACGATTCAGCAGTGAATTCGGGTTCTTCAGGGTTGTAATGTTCCATGACGCTCCTTGTGAAAGAAAATGCCATTTGTCCGAGCAACTCTATCACGGCACTAACTGCCATGGTGAAACCGCTCATGCAAAATCAGGTTTTGTCAGTAATGCACGCGCTTAGGTCTTTTATATTCCATTCAGCTTGTCATGTCACGAAATTTGGTATCGAAAGTATTACGGAACTTTGGAAAATAACGCCTGAGACTGATATTGCACAGTGCTAAAGGAGTGACCTTCCACACCAATAGGAAAAAAGGTAAAAACATTTTTTTTCTTGCTTCAGCGCTTCAATTTAAAATGGAAAATTTTCCCGGAAGCCTGCCAAACTTGACAGGTGAAATGCGGATGAGACCATTGGATGTTGCATGTTTTATATGTATTATGATGCATAACGTTAACCAAACATGTACAACGCCATTTTTATTTCTCAAACCACAGATGGCAATAAATAAACACAAACTCAACAATATAATTTGAATCCCTTTTAACAATAGTCTTGTTTTAAACGCTCGGCATAATCTACAAGGAAGAGGAAAGGTTTGGGTGATCTTTCTCAGCTTAAAAACCGCAGAGATAAAAACAGGAAATTAAAACTGAAAGATGGGGAAGGTTTCTGTTTTGTTGAGACTCACACTTTTCTCGATGTTGACTGGTTACTATTTTTGTGGAGTTACATGTGCAAGCCACTCATAGATGTCAAGGATACCTACGGAATTGTCTTTTTTTGACGAGATCTCTCGAGCTCGTTTTTATGAAACCCGTTCTGGTTTTATTCATGCTTTCATGGGTCCTCTTCAAAGTTAACTCAGGAAGTGTCAACATTACGTTCTTTGGAATAAGCTGATGAATAATGGCTATGTTTTTTTTATGCAGGCAACTCATTTACTGAACTGTTTAAGAAATTAAAAATAAACATGTGACGTAAATTAAAGAAAATGTTTCCGTATCGTGAGGCCGGATGTTAGACATACAGTCTGTAATGAGAAACTATAAGATAAGAAAATGATTGTCACCCATTTTATCATATAGTATTGCCCTGATCTCTATCAATGCTATGGTGTTGGAATTTTTTGTCATTCTCGATAACTTACTGGATTGCGTCGCAGTTCATACAAACCTTTGTGTTCGTCGACCCTTGAACCACCTACCTTCTTCACAGCATACCGATTGCTGACTTGCTCGCCAGTAGGGTATGCAAACCTCCTCTAGTTGCAATCCTAATAAAAATCAACTTTCATTTGGTAACTGTAACTCCCATTCTGAAGTATAAATATCATTTCGTTTTTAGCCTCTGTGCATTACGTTATCAGCATTGATTTTTATTTTGTAGTTGTTTACACACAAAGCCTTGGTCCAAACCTTTGAATGGTTGCGAAACTCATTTCGTTGGACCGGCAGTTTTTGGGCTCTTGCATGTTAGAACTTTCTCATCCTTTTCTTTGACAGTGACTTTTGAGATCGGAAGGCACAAAGCAAACTTGGAATTCGCGCTTCACGAGGTGATTATACACCTGCAGGTCTCTTTCAAAATCTACATGGCCCTCACACTTGAGATTACAATAATTGTTTTAAATGCCTTTTTGTATTTAATGTCTTTTGGTCTCAGTTAGTTCCGGAAAACTGTTCAAGTAATATCTAAGACTTCCATTGACTACGGCTTCGTCAAATTGTGAACCATAACTTTCCTCATTGCGAAATCAAGGATGCAGAACTTTCGCTAGGGATTTCTACAATAGAGCGAAAGATTTGTGGGCATGTTCTGACCCTAAAATGTTTTCGGTGCAGCATGCTATTGACTGACGCTGGGAGTGAGACCAAATGTTTCAGAAAGAACCATGGAACGTTGCAGGTGGCACTAAATAACAGCGTGACGATTTTTAATTTTGAAAGTTCTCTTAACAGGGTCAACTACTAAAAAAGATTGTAAGAAAGAAAGTTTTCTACAAAAAGTTTCGCAAAGTTGTATTCCCGTTCTTCGAACGGAAGTTAATTACCTAATTTCCCAGTAGATTGTCCGGAAGATGTTATCACGTCAATGGACCGAAGACTGTCACATCCTTCTCGATCCACATGAATCTCGAATAAACATTGAAATATTTAAAAATATTACACAGTAGAAAGGATTTTTATCAAGCTTTGATTCTCGTTCGCGTCAGTTCAGTGACGAAAGGCATGGCTAAAATTATACAAGGAATTGAATATAAAATATTGTTTCAAATTAGCTTTGCAAGAGAGAGGCATAAGTGCGAGATGGCTGTGAAATTGGCCTCCTAAAGCATGAGTTGTCGATTTTAAATGCTGGTTCAAGTTTCTTTGGAATAATCTTTGATTCTTTATTTTGTGGGGGTTTCAAAGCATATTTATCAGAAAAAATAAAAGTAAATGAGCGGGGTGCTATTAGGGTGTCAAAAATCTAAATTCATCTAAAAAAAAATTCAGTTGATTTATTTATATACAGCATATGAAAAATCACTCTTTGATACCTATTCATATTTGCCCCTCGTCCCTTCATTCATTCATTCAATCGTTCTCTCGTACGTTCACCTTATTTATTTTTTTTTTCTGTTGATGTAATTTATTATTTAAGTTTGCCAGTGCAGTCCGGTATCAGTGATTGTTTCATTCGAAGCGCGTTCATTTACGCGATACTTATTTCATTTGTTTTTTCCTAGTTCATTCGATAAATATCTCACATTTCACATTAATTTTCCGTCTTCTCGTAGCTTTTCTCCACTCGTTATTTCCAATTGTTCCCTCCGTCTTTTTTCTGCCCCTTCGTGCATCTTTTGTATATTATTCGACCAGGTAACTAATTTTGTATGCTTCATTTTCTCGATAGTTCTATCAATACTTAAAATCCCCACTCCGGCACTTTAAATTTTTTCATGTTTAACCACAATTTGCGTCGCTTGCATCCGACGATCTAATATCTGTTTTTGACGAGCAACTGGGAAGTCATTGATAGATAGTTTCAGCCTTATGAGATTCATGCACATACTTTATGATTTAGATAAATTAGTACATCATCACGAGGTCAGCAGTTTTGAAATTTGCACGGCATGCTCAGTAACTTTAACCTTAATTTGTGTTTGTGTTTATATCATAATGTTTTTTATTATTAAGTTAGTTTAGGTTAAATATATTCTTGCGTGTCTTCAGTCAGTCTTAAGCTTCACTCGTACCATATTTGGATTTGACTAACTTCAAGTCAATTGAGTATTGACATTTCAACCCCCCCTCCCACACGTGATGGTCTCTCACCACTTTATCTCTAAAGCAGACGAGCACTCAACTCAAAGCTTGGTTTGTGCTGACTCGTAGTTAAAGCAGAGGTCAATTTACTTCAAATGCAACAATACTATATTACTTCAAAAAGCACTAATTTTCATGCGCAAACTTGAATATGTTGAAAGATAAATATCATTTTCCGGTGTCTCGAGGAAATTGATGTTATCACAAATTGCTTTCTGTGCCGAGTATCAGAATACGTCAGTATACGATTGCATTAAACGAAAACATGGAGTTCTCGGGGGGAACGAGTTATGTAATAAAAATCACAGCTCACAAAGTTGCTTCTTTTCAACTGAAACTGGCTTCCATCCAAACTTTTAAGAGTCGAAATGGCAAGCTGTCATGTTTTGTACTTCCTGCAATATTTTCTAAAAAGTATATAAATGATTAAAGCCGAATTATATTGGTTACTGATTATGGAATTACTTACTTTTATAACAGTATTAGAATAAAGTAGGATTAATCGCCATTTTATTGCGCTGATAAAGCTTACTGTCTGCTTCTCTACCTGTCATTTATATCATTTTACTTTAGGCAAGTGCCAGCACCATTTGTCATCTTTTGTGAGCTTTGAGTCGTTGGTCTCAACAATGAATGATTCTTTGAACGACAGCACCACCTTATCCGCCAACATCTCAGTAGAAGATTGTTCTCTCCCTGTAGCTCATGGCATCGCTCTTATTTCCACAAATGCTTTCGTGGGGTTGTTTGGAACACTTGGTAACCTACTGGTTTGCTTGGCAGTTGTCATATATCCTCGCTTACGCCGACCATCCAACTACCTTCTGTTCAGTTTGGCCATCGCTGATTTGATTGTCACCATGGCGTGCGAGCCCCTTGTTGTGGCAATCTTCACTAAAAGGACGTTCTTCAACGACTGTGCACCAGACTTGGAACTCCTATACGTGATTTTATCTATGCTTTCGTGCTCTGCTTCTGTACTACATATGGCGGCAATCAGCATCGATCGTTTCATCGCAGTTGTGTTTCCCCTGCACCACAGAGCCATGTCAGATACCTGCGGATTAAAAGCAATGTTGATAACGTGTTGGGCATATCCAATCTCAGTTCCCATCTTAAGCGCCGTTGTTCCACCAACCTTTCCAAAAGATATTTTTGCTTTGTTGATGTTTGCAATCAGTTACGGAATTATTTTCTTGTCTTACTCACTTATCGTGATTTCCCTCGTCAGACATAAAAGACAAGAAAAGCAACTTGAAATGCGCCGAAATAGTAATGCTAGTCATCAGACTCACGTTGAAATCCGAGTGGCCTCCACCCTTGGGATCGTAATTCTTGTTTTCACAGCATGCTGGCTTCCGTTCATCGTAGTGCTTTATGCAACAGGACGCCTTTTGATCAAGAAGCACGGAGTTGCCTATATGTGGATCAGGACCTTGGCTCTTTCAAACTCTGCCATTAACTTCTCTATATATGGTTCAAGAATGCAGAACTTCCGTGAAGCGTTCTCTGCAACTGGACGAAAAGTTCTGGGTGCTTTCACTAGACAATGTTCCCGGACCCAAGTGTATGATTTGAACGTAAGCAAGACCCAGTCCTCTAGTTCGAGATGATAACAATTTAGAACCACCTCCCTACCATGAGTAGAAGAATCCAACGCACCAACAGTGGAAAAGTCTTGCAAGCATTTTCACTACATCCTTTCTCGGGTTAATTAAGGAAAACCAGAAGACTGAGTTTGGTGGTGGTGTTTTATAAGAGGGTATAGGCATGAATTTTCATATGGCTAGTAACGTTTAAGGTGAAGACCAGAGATTTATTTTTAGGCTTAAAGGAAAAAAGGAGAAAGCAGTCCTGCAGCTACAGCAAGGTAACGCCTTCGCAAACGTTAGGTTTTCATGAACTATGCATACCCAAACCTTTAACGTTGAGGCATTGTGACAATATAGGACTGGTTCTTTTGCTGAACACGAAAAGATAAACCTTCATAGTGAAAACGTGACTCAACAAACACGACCACTATCATCACATCGAAATTCAGTTGATCATGCAAAATGTTGTTAGGTAGCATGCCAAATATTTGAAAAATCAATATGTTGAGAATGACCTCTCAGTTAATCCTAATTCCCTCTTCGACACTTTTCTATCATTGCATGGTAATAGCTTGATTGTATTGCTGTGTCGATAGATGACTTGACACTTAACAATACCGATAAATGAACTGAAACTTCAATATTTCTAATTATAAGAGTGATAAATAACTACTTGGCAACATCACTTTGAATTCTAAGCCAGAGAAATTCCGCACGATGCAAAACATGGAGAGGGTCACTCAACATTCAGACGTAATGGCTTCACTTGGAACAATAACCATAAGGGTGTCTGCCTTTCATGATGCTATTTTTTTTATTATTTAATAGTGACTTAGGAATATTTCATATATTGATTTTTAACTAAGGGCAACTTTTATGTTGCTATTGGCAAAGTATATAAAAGGTTTATGAAAACGCCTTAGTAATAGCTTGTAGCCTAGGAATATGGCCCATAGAATTTTAAACTCATGTACATTGATATGATTGAGGAATATTCTCGCTTCTGAGTGTGAGTTTACTCTTTTATTAAAATATTTTTTAATCAGAAAAATAACCATATTGCGAAAAGTTTCGTTCAAGAGCGAAAGAGAAATATAAAGCTAAATAAAAGAAATCTCAGTTTCTCTGATGTACTTTCTAAGGTGCGGATGACTAAGTTAAGCGTTTAAAAGCCTTTAATTATTAATAATTATAAACATATTTTGCTGAGCGTCAGTAAATGCGATTTGAAGCTATGTACTTTTTCGTAACTTGGTCGGACAACGGTGCACCTGACATTCTTAAAAATATGGATGAACAAACGACAAAAATGTAAAGTACCCTATACTTATCGAGCCTCTCTCATTTTCCAGATCAACCGACGTGAAGTTCGAGCTCGTCTTCAAATTATTTGATGTTCCAATTTCTCGCTAAGCTTCTTTGAAAATTATTTCTTTCCAAGCATAATCTGTATAGAATGGAACGAGCTGTAGTATCAAAGGATAACGTTTTTGAGACAAAATCTCTCAGTTTGAAGCAAGATAAAATGAAGTGCAATTTCCTTACATTACCTGTCTGATCTGTAATTTCTCCACCTGAGGCTGAGGTGCAATTTATCTGTTTAGTATCATGAACCGCCCTTCGTCTGGAATAGCCGTGGTCATTGTTATGTTAAACGGCTATCATGACCTCTGTGATCAAACATGCAAGAATAAGTGATAAGATTAGGATTGGATCTCAGAATGACAGTCAACCGGAAAATGAAAGTATGCTTTGCCATCACATTGGAGTTGTAAAAGTTGATTTTACAGCTTCATGTGTTCCGCTCGTTGTCGGGAAAATTGTTGGTCAAGAGATATGAGAGGTCTTATGACTTAGAAATGTCCTCTAGCTCTTCTTTATAACTTGAGTTGACAAGTGATATTAGAGCTTCTAAACGAGGCAGTTTCATTAACACTTATAGACTGTTTGCTTTTCCCACGTCGTCCATTAGCAGAGTACTTTGAAACATGCATTCTTTAATAGAGTTCAACGGAAAGCAAATGAAAGTTAGGTTTTTCATTTAATCATCTTCATAACAACTCCAGGTTCTCTATCTTTCCTAAACTTGATCTTGGCCTCTTTACAAGAGACAAAAGAATCGCACCGTCTACTTAAAACTACCTTTTGTGGATGTTTGTTGATTATTGTTTATTTTAGAAAAGACATAGAGTATATTCTATCAAATGAGGCCATTCACTTGTGTCAGATGCCGACTGCCGAAGTGATTGCCATAGTTTTGTAGAGTACTAAGAAAATATGTCTTAGTTCGGTGATATTTCGTCATTAAAAGACCACTTAAGCCTAAATATCTCTACTAAATGGCTCGCATTTCTAATAAAGCAAACTGATAACAGTTGAGGATAGTAGCGAACACGAAGGTTCATGATATTGGTTTGCTTGTGTCACTTAGCGGGCATGAATTCATCTGAGACATCGACGCTGCATTGCAACGTCCAACACTCATGGTTAAAGTTCCATCACTGTTCTTTTTCTCACTATATCCCTCTTTTTGTCTTGATTTGTTTTCTTTTTCGTCTTGGAATAAATCCACTAAGCTTTGCAACCCTTGCAATAACCTTTCTTTTTAGCCTCCGAGGAAGCAGGTTGTGTTACATTTTTATCTTTAATCGTCTCCCCCGCAGAGTTTTGTTTCGAAGGAGGTGTCCCTTTCTTTGGACAGTCTGAAGGGGGCTGTTTCTTGACCCGAATGGGAATGCGTGGTGGAAAGTCACGTTCTTTCCCCGTTTCTCCTAAACACGAGTGTAACATTAACGAACATCGCAGTCTGGAACTCATAAAACGCATGTCTCGTAAGTCAGGTATCATGGGCCTTGATCTAGCGCCGGTAACATTCAAGGTATTCCGAGTAAGAACGCGAGTGCACGGTGAGGATTCACTACAACTCTCTGAATAATAATAAAAACGACTGTTGTTAGCCCCATGTGGCGAAAAAGTGGCTCTGGAGGAAGCAGCGAGCCTCGCAGCCTTTTGACAGTGTTTATCAATGGCGTGTTGATACTCTTGATATACAGGATGCTTAGAGTTTCCAATATATGCTTTGATTACAGGTCTTCTTTTACGGTCCACTCCATGAACCAATGTTAGAAGTTGGTGATTACCTTCTTCTGTGTCTTCCTGTCGCCACATCTTGGATACTAATGGTCAAGTGGAGGCAACTTACAACAACACTAAGAAATTCGACAATAGATGGAACAAGTCTGTTATACAAGCCGCTTGAGTACTGAAGGTTTGACAAGTAAGTTATTTCCTTGTGACTGAGAACTCTGCTGACACAAAGAGAAACAATGCCCCTCTGATGTTCGGACCAAAATCAAGACGGTATTTTCTATTAACTAGAGTTGTTGGAGTTTTTGGAAAATGGCAGGTAATTACAGTTCGTTGATGAAATAAAAGCCCCTGAGGATTAGTTGCCGTTAATTCCTGTCTAATCTCCTCAAACACGTAATCTTTTGCTTAAAATTAGACCAAAAATAACATGAAAATAATTGTACCAGCACGTCTCTAAGAAAACAGAACGACTGAGATGGGACGATCTTAATTGCAAAACTGTTATGAATCGACGATGAATACTAATTTAACTTGGGTAGCTATTGTCAAGTTTATTACTTTCAAAGGCGTGCGGAACTTTTCATCTTGAAAAGCCTTCTTTTGTTTCCTTAACCAAAGCAATTATTTTTGCTTTGTGGCTGATAATGACAGGTAGAAAGTTCAATAAAATGGAACAGCGAAGCCTAACATTATTGGTTTTGTTAGATCATAAGCTTTAATTATTTAAAATGGATTAAGATGCAATACAAAACATTTCATATACGCTGAGAAAAAGTAAGCTGAGAAAAATTGAGATAAAGAATGTTACAATTGACGTCATTATAGATCCATTGGATAAGTGTGGTAACGAAAAAGAAGTATCGCAGGGCACCAAAAGAAATCCTGATGTTCTTTCATGCACGTGCACCAAGGATCCCACAGAAAAAAATTCAAGTGTTTGGTGAACTAATCTGTTGAACGTGACTTACCTGCGGTAGAACAGGATTGACACCAGCTGAAATCCACGTAACAACATTCAGTCTGTTTACTTGGCCAAAACAACCATAGCTACAACTTAATGTTTCACCTACTCCTGCTTAACGATTCTTTTCATACATACTAGGAGGCGGAGGGTGGAGTTTAGCGTTTTTAAGTTCAATAACCGGTCCTGATTCAGCGCACGGAGCCCCCCACCTTGTCCTTTGGCATTTTTTCAGGCTTTCCCAAGAACTCACCGTGGAACCCATTCATACCACCGTTAAAAGGAGGTATCTTTTCCCAGAGCCCGGCACAATGCCTCGCTTAGGGCTAAAGCCCGGAGCGTGTGACACACCAGGCCCCGTCTCCGATTTATCAAACACCTCATATGGTATAATTCGAAGAAAAAGAGAAGTCGTTGAAAACCTTGTGGAGTGTCCCATCTCTCATACGATATCAAGTCTATTTTGAACATTGTCATTTTAATCACTTGTGGATATAAATACTATAGTTTTGCTATATTAAATGAAAGGTCAACAGCAGGTACTGAGGAGTCGAGGGACATTTGTAATACCTAATGGCGATCATACTCTCTTTACAACATACCAGCCGATGCTGATGTCCCACCCGTCCCACCTGAGTCCTTTCGCTGTTTTTTAGCTCACAGCTTTTTTGTATTGCTTTAGGACTACTTTTAGTCTCATACGTCTCAATGATCGGCCTTTAGAGGTTTACAATCACTTGCTACATTCAAAAAATATATAAATATATAGGAACCCATATTAATTTTTTCCTTTCCAGCCCCCATTTCGATGACTGATCAAGGCCTCCGTGAAAATTCGATACTGTGTCCACTTCTTAACCTCTGTCGTCATAACGTCTAAAATTCTTTTCACGCCAATTTGGATACACGCTGGCACCGTTTTGTATAATGTTTGAATACATGCACGTCATACTAAAACAAAGGACTGAATGATATATCTCATGGATACTAGAAAGAAAAAAAAACTTGAGTCTGAGCGGGTCGTAGCCGCACAGGAAGAGCCGTGAACCATAAAGTTACCTTGTGGACAAACTGATAGACTCGTCTTTTCTTCGTTGTGTTCTGTCGTTTCGTTATGTCATGATGTTCCGCCGTGCTCCTTCATCTCTTCGTTACGTAAAGTCGTTCCTTCGTTTTGTTGCGTCACTGTGTTACATCGTTTCGTCGTTCGACTCGACGTTTTGTCACTTCCATGTTTTGTTTCTGTGGTTGACTATGCAGGACTGGAAATGAGGTACAACTCGCTGTCAAATACCTCACTCGGTTATCATTTTCACCTTCGTTACGAAAAAAGACTGAATTGTTATCGTTCAATGAAGTTTAAACGCTTTTGGAAAAAAATGATAGTGTTTGAACAATGATCTGTTATGCAATATTTACGTTCGTCTCTACGTAAGAATCAAATGATGCATAACACTCAGAGAGATGGTGTATCAGTAACTTGTAAGAGCTTCCACTATTCGTTGATATAATGGCTGATTAATGTATCAATAACTGGAGTCGAAATGACCTCTTGGGCTCTTTAGAAACTTTAGTTTATTTGATAAAAGGAAGGAACTATCCGGTCCCTTCAATGTTGTGAGAGAGTGATACACAAGAACATCAGAAACACACTCAGCTACTCCTTGTGCGCCACTTTGTTGTTTTTACCACAATTTGACGTCATCTGTGATCTATTGCTGAACAGATGCGAGGCAGCATGGTACCTTTTGGTTAAATAAAAGCCCTGCCGTGAGTGACAACGTGAAGTGCGTAGTTTCACTTCAGCTGCAAAAATCCCGTCCAATTAAGCCGCAATTTTTCAAAACTATCAAGATTATTTTCCTATCCATTCTGATTGAGATATACCTTTTGGAGCTGTAAATGAACGGTAAATATGCTTAATAATACTCCATTCGAAAAACAGTGAAAATGCAACTCATTCAAGCGACGAAATTAGCTTTGGAGCGAACGATTCTTTTTTGTCAAACACGATACGAGTTATAAATGGAAAAAGAAAACCGAGCTTTCTGACTTCAAGTGAGGCTTTGCGAGGTTCCAGCGGACTCTTTTCTTTCGAAGGGTAAATATTGTTATCAGATGTTGATAGGTCCAAAAGGTATCGTCGAATAAAAGACTTTGCGCTGCGCAATTTTCTATCTGTGGATTGTGGTAAACAAGCATTCAAGCATGAGGAATCTATACTACCCAGACCCCGTCATGCAAGAAATTCATACGTTTTTCACTGCAAAAAAAAATTAACGTTTCTTGCGTACACCCTTGGTCTCGAAATATTTCTTTGCCATAGTTAGCTTGCCTTCTTTCACTGTGAATACAGCTATTTTAATTTACGTTGTCGGATCAAAGCTTCAAGGAAGACCGATTATTTCCCCAACATTTCTTTCATCCAAATGGCTCGCCATCGGAGCTTATGGACGAGGCATTGTTAATTTTGCTGATAATTATTCTTTAACTGTGAATATATGAAAATCATATATGTGAACTCCGGGCCAGGAAATGAATATGAAAGCGATCTTCGCAATAATGAACGCTATTCACTACTGCTTAGTGGTATTTAGTACTGCGAAGATGGCCTCCATATTCATTTGTCTTCTATTGATAGTTTTCAGGTAGTATAAGTGATTTCTGGGTAGATCCAACGCAGTTGCAATAAAATTCCTTTTTCGTGCACAAGTTCTCCTGCTATGATCTGAGATAATTAATTCATGTATAGCATGCTTATATAGAGGTAGATGTAAATGCACCTGGGAAATTTTAGGGCACTCAAGAATCGGAAGAGTCAAAAGTCTCGCCCTCGCCTCGGGCAACTCTACGCTTCTCAGTCTCGTGCTCTCCAAACTTCCCGTGTGCATGCATACCTCGTAATACGTACGCTAAGCATGAGCTAATTTCTAAAGATTTGGTTAAAAATACAAAAGACAAAAGTGAAAGGAATACAATGAAGTATTGAATGAATGCTAATGATATGGTATTGTCGGTATTGTGTTTTACTTTAAAATGGTTTCGTAATGACAATGAAAAGGTCCTTTTTGTTGATTTATCAACCTTCTATAAATGCGGCCCTATCTGTGCGCTGAGGGACAGCATAATGTTTCATTTTATTACCTTACATGCAATTGTCATCCTTTCTCGTCTGTGCTCTGTAATAAGCATTCAAAAGAAACCTCTTTTACACTGTAAAATCTGCTTGAATCGCTTCCTAAACTGCCGGCTCATTACTCCATAAATAACAGGATTGCAGGCAGAGTTCAACATTGCAAGCCAAGTGGTGATAGCAAAAAATTCATCCGGCCATGAACAGCCTTCAAATAAGAGGCAAAATATTCCTATAAAGTGAGGTGTCCAGCACAACACGAATGTGCCTACTACAATCAATAAAGTCTTAGCAGCTTTGGTTTCACGTCGCATTTTCGCTCGGGCTTGTACATCCTTCTTTTTTCGAAGTTTATCAAGCGCAAGTTTTGATTTGCTAAATGCTCTAAACGCGTTTGGCCCCGCAAAGTTCTTTAGAGTGGTGATAGAAACAGTTGAAAACTTTTTTCTACGCGTTGTGGGAGAGGCTTTGCTGCCCTCTCGAACGCTTTTTGACGAGAAAGCAAACGAACTTTGAGATGAACATTGAGAAACAACTACAGGAATTTGCGACGATTGCCTGGCAAAATCTGAGTCACTATAGGCTCTATTTTGTCGCGGTTGTACAATCGCCCCGACTGAAAGGCTATTTGACCGACAAGACCTTCTTATTTCTAAGTTATCATCCGTTTTCATAGCATATGAAGGGTATTCGTTCGTATTATTTGCGTCACTGTCCTTTGTTGATTCGTTTACATTTGACTTGTAATTGTTTAAATTCCCTAAATCTGCACGAGGTTCATTAAAATGTTGCATAATTGATTCCATTTCCTCTTTTCCTTTCACATTTTGAAGAGGAGGTAAATAAATGGCACCAGTCTTCCTTTTCATAGTGTTGGTATTTGATTTAGGAGGCGGTATGTCCACGTACGCACTGTCTAGTAGAGTTGATGCGCACTGTCGATCGCGTATGTTGTCACAGATTGGTTCGTTCGATAAGATAGCTGAATCTTGTACACTTTCACAACTGCTATTCAAAATGCTTCCCCCGTCTGTGCTTCCATATTCGCTTGAAGTTCTCCTTGGTTTTAGATAACTTATTGAACCTCCCTCTTCAAAACCAGAATCCTTAGAAGGTTGATCGCTAGTGTTTGTCATTTTAAAAGATGATGTCGTGACCTCTTTTCGTTCGTCGTAAATTATCATCGGTGTTTGACGATCTGATAAGAATTTTTCGTCGTATATGTCGCTGTTTATTGAACTCTGACTTTTGCCCAGATCTTTGACTGATAAAACAGAGTGCGGATCTTTTGATGTGGAGTTCAAATGCGTTTGACTATCGTCTCGGAAACCAGAGTATTCACTTGAGCTGGGTTCCTCCTTCACTCCAATTGAACCCGTAATTGGGACAACTTTCCTCGATTGCATCTTGGCTGTGCGAAAAATCTTTAAATATGTCACCATCATTATGGCAAGTGGCAAGAAAAAGCACACGGAAAATAGAAATATTGTGTAAGAAATACTGTACCCCCACTCAACAGTGCAGATAGACTCGGATCGTATAAAAGTGTACTGCGTCCAATCGGTGAGTGGTAGGCAAGCCATAAGTAAGGCATGGAACCATATATAAGTAATCATTCCAGCGGCAACTTTGTTCGTTATCCACGTACCGTACTTAAAAGGATAGAGAATTGCACAGTATCGGTCAATTGACACCGCTGCGAGCGTGAGAATCGAAGCGATACAAAACAAAGAGTTGGCCATACCGTTGACCTTACACCACTTGTCCCCGAAGATCCAATCATACGTGATGGATGAGGCGAGTGTAAAAGGCATCCCGATCATAGTAAGTAATAAATCGGCGCAGGCTAGATTGATTATGAACGCGTTCGTAATTGTTTGCAGAGTTTTGTCGATGTAAATGGCCGCCAGAATGAGTAGATTGCCCCCCAACGCAACAAGTATTATAGCCACCATAGAGGCAGCTTGAAGGAATACACCACCTCTTGATCGAAGATCCTGCGTCGTGACATCGCCAACAGAGTCTGTAAGAGTCTTATTCAGTAAAATGTCCACCATGTTGTACCCCTCTTGGGCATACACATACTTCAAGTGTTTCAAGCGACTAAGTACCTCGGACTAATTGTTCACGCTTGAACGGAAATTCATCCAAATAATTCAGCAAAGTAAAATGCATAAACATGAGACGCAAGCTATTTTTGCGTTGATTGAATTTTGCTAAGCACGGTGTCCTTGCTTGAAGTAGTTTGAGACTAAATAAGTGAAGACGACTCGTTCAACGACTCCTTAATTATGCAACCGTTTAACCAAAAGGAAAAGATAGAAAATGTCATTTGTGAAGACCTGAGCAAAGTATAGGTATTAAAAACATTGTTGGTACTAAACGCCCCCGTGTCAGTTAAAAAACAAAAGCATCACTTAATTATGGATTCAAAAAATGTTTGTAATAGAATTCGAAAAAAATGTTTTTGTTCTGATTAAGTAAATAGGACTTCAAAGAACGAACGTGCCCGCTGAGGACTTTAAAACATTCACAAGTGTTGATAGACGGTATTTAGAGATTCACTTTGCACTTTCAGTCTATACTTTTAGTGTTAAAGCCTTGAGACTTTAATTGTCTAAAGAAGTGGTTAATCAACATATTCCATTGAGAGCCAACATTCTTCATTGCTTCCCGTAAATTTCTTTTCATGCCAGTTCACAAAAGCATAACTTGAAATTATCACTTCAAACAATACTCAGCACTTCAACGATTTTCGTGATTTTCGTCCATTTTTTTGCATGTTTTGAGCGTTCCAGAGAATTAAAAAGCCAATTTCTTCTGCTTAGTTAATCTAGTAATATCTGTTAATCTTAAGCATACGTAAGTGACTCGAATATTGGATTTTATGGCCTTGTCTAAAAGTAGTCTTGGTACACTATCTACGTTGGTTTTCTCATAGATTGTTCTTCAGTTAGTTTTAATTCCTGATCCCCCGGAACTTTTTCTTTGTGTTAAAATTGTGATAATGATTGTTATGAAATTTCACAAACAGCAAGGAAATATGCGGCAGTCAATAGGGGCCATAAATGGCGATTTTTTTTCAAATGCTAATATAAAACAATTAAATCAACACACAAGGACTGAAGCACTTAAGTCTCTCCCGTGTCTACCTTTTTAGTGATAAAAAAGTCAGTACCATACCATCTTTCTTACTCGATTTACAAACATGAAGCTATCGACATCGCTGATCCTAGCAGTATGTAGGACGCGTGTCACTAGGAACTTCGTAATACGCCTCGCTCACCAACGAGTCTCTGTGGCTCGGCGGTATTGCATCGAAGCGCGGAATCCGAAGGTCTGAGGTTCGATTCCTCATGGGGACTCAGAATTTAATATAAAATATAAGTATTTTTAGTACTTAAGTATAAAGTATAAAATATTTCCTCGTGACACGACCGCATCATCACTGATTTAATTTACTAATCGTGTATAAAATAATGCTTGGAGAATTAATAAGAACTACCGTACTTTACTATGCTGTATATGGGCTCTCATTTCATGCCACGAGTACTTGTTATTATTCTCAACCGTACAAAGTCAGCCGTCATACATTGACTGACATAGAGTGATATGCGGCCGGATACTATAAGGGCTTATTAAAAAAACCGGAAGTAAGAGATTGACACAAAATTTGAAGTCACATCTCCCAATAATAGAGAGTTGGATACATAATATCATGATCAATGTTTTACATCCAGATGCATCAAGGATAAAATATTTCTTATAACACGACCACATCAGCTCTGATTTAATTTTTAATCGTGTATAAAAGAAGGCTTCCACTACTAAGGTAAAGTGTGACTTTAAGAGTAAAGAAAAGTCAAATTTGGGTTGCCTTTACGCTCCCAACATCAAACTTCAGTTATTTGGATTATGTGTTGATCACGGTGAGGAGGAAACTACGCTTCTATTATTACACTTCGTTGACTTTATGTTTAAATTCTATCCAGCATCTTTGAAGTTCTTGCGTGGCCAGTCATGCCATGTCTAAAATCCATCCAGATATCCTTGGACCAACGAATCTAATTTTAATTTGAAATAATTTATTCTTAACTGAGTGAATCAAAACTGATCTGAAATCTAATATTTGTGTTTCTAAAGGGTTCAGTATTGATCTGAAAATTTAAGACATTTGGCTTTACCGTTTCTCAGTTGACCTTAGCACTTTCAATTCTCAAGCATGAAGATTTCGATTTTTACCATATGAAAGTTAACGGTTTCATCTGTTGACACCCTTTTAGAATGATTACTGCTGTCTTAATTGCTGGTGGTCGTGGTAAATATGGCTCTTTGCCGATCAAGATGCCTCAGTCTGAGTTTATTTCTTCGGTATTTAGGGAAAGGTTGAGGACGAGTAAAGTATTTTCATTTGGAACTCCATCTCCAATGCTCCATTGAACCGAGTCTTAATTCTCCAACAATTTTACCGAGTGAATCCCTATAAATGTCAAATTATTGAATCGTAATGCCGGAACGCTAAGTGGGCAAACAAGGTAATGAGAAAGTAGATAACATATTTTTGCTACTTTCGTGGACCTTTCCAAAAGCATAGTTAATCGATTAACTATGCCAAAAGAGAGCAAAGAATCGAAACAACTTATTGTTTTGCGGGCATTACGCCATCCCAATTGTGTTCTCACAAACTTTCATCTTAAAACCACACATAACCCTGCGGGTAGAATTACTTGTTGTTAGTGGTATGACAAAGACTGAATCAACTTACGTGCAGTAATTTGGATCGATTGATGCGTGTTATTTAATGACAGTTTCCATGAAGTCAAACATAGCAAGGTCGCACGTGAGGAGATTGACCCTTAATTTTGTTGCGTAATCGCATTCTGATTGTTTACATGCCAAGGTAAAAGTATTACGTCACAGGAACTGTTTTGTCACTTGAGCTCGCAAACGTTATCCTTCAAGCAGAGAGAAGCGACAGCCGCACGTCTGCGTTCGTGCGCTAAAGAAAAATGAAAAAAATTTTCTTTTGTTTGCTAGCCACAACAGTTTTAATACTGAGAGATTCTGACCTTAGAGTTTGAGCTCAATAATCAAACAAACAACAAAATAAATCATTTTAAAATCATAAATAATACTATCATATATATACTTCCAGATTGATATCGGCACAATGCAAATACCTAAGAAACTCAAGGGCGACCATCCAAAAGAATCGTCATCTTTCTGTTTTGCCTGAAACCTGTCCTCCTGAAGCTTGGAGATCATGGAGCTTGTGGTAATAGAAGCCTGACAACCAGGAGAAGAATGTCTTGAAGGGAAGAGTTGGGGCCCCACCGAATAGGTTGGTGGCTGGCTGTAGCTGGCTGCAGAGCGTAGCACACTCAGCGAAAGGCGCCCAAAACTCTCGATCTGTCCATATGTAATCTTCTATCTTTGTTCTCTGATACAATTCTACCTATAGCAAATTCAACTCCCTCTTTTCTTTAACCACTCTAACTTGTATTGATTGATCGACTCTAATTGACTCTTATTCATTCTGAGTAACGTGGGTCGACTTTCTCTCCTCTCTCTTTCTGTTTATAGGTAGGCATGAGTTGGCATACTGGCCAATCGACCTTGGGAAATTAAGAGAGAAAAATGGCTCTTCGACTTGCAAATGCTGGTGATTTCGACGAGATATCAAAGCTGTCTAAGAGGATGGAAAACAGATCGATTCGACTTCGTCCCCATACAAGTTCAAGAAATGGCTCGCGGAACCCAATAGAATAACTATGGTTGCTGAGAAAGGATCGAAAATGGTGGGATTCATGAGATGCAGCGTCGTTGACGGGAATGAATCAATGGTTATTGAAGCTGCAAGAGTTGATCCTAGTCACAGACATTAAGGCATTTACAGTTCTCTTATTAGTTTTTTGATTGGCCTTACCCGGGAAGAAATTCCTACTTTGGTGCGTTTAAGGTATTCACTTTGGTCTGGTATTTACAAAGCAGTCAAACATTCAGCCATAGGACTTCAGATGGAAGATAAAGAGAAACTGTTTCCGTTACCGGTTTCGTGACGTTTTCTCGCGTTTCCGTTGCTGCGTATACAACGGAACCGGACCACTTTTACGTAAACATAACGGAAACATGGAGTTGCATGTTTCCACCACGTTTCAAAATACGTTGAGTCAGAGATGGAAGATAAAGTCAACAGAGAATGTCAATTTTGGATACAAGTTACAAAACGGCTCCAAACCTGTGCTGTAAACAAAGGGTGCATTCCTCGCTATTTTCTAATAATATTCTTGTTTTTGACCGACATATTTTGAAGCTATCCCATCCAGTATCGATCACATCTTATCGGATCAGGATCGATATTAAATCAAGCGGTTTTCATGTCAGCTTGACCTCAATGATCAAAGTTAAGGACTCGAAGCTTTGCCTGTCAGTCCTTATGTGATCTATCAGTTGATGAGTGCCTGTCAAAATGCACAAAAAAGGTTTCTATTCAGCACCTATCAAGATCCCTGTCTTAATGAGTATTGCAAAGAAGCTGTGACGGACTTTCCATGCGTTAAGAGTATGAGCAATGGTGGGTCTATCCAAAAAATGTTATCCTTGAAGTTGCGGTTGAGGCATCACAATCGATGAAATAGAAGTAGCAATAATAATATACTTTGTTTCCATACGTTTTTTTTAGGGATGTTGCTGGTTATTACACGCACGACTTAAGTGTTATAGAGAAGTTAATTAAGTAATGCTTACTTTACATATTACGATGTGACAACGTTACAAAAAAAGGAGAGAAAAAGAAAACCGTTTGTTTAGAAATCCACCGATCTGAGTAATCAGTCTGCGCTTTTTGTGTGAAAAGAAGAGTCGTTTGTTACTTGATGTCGTTACCAACAACAAACATAATCCTCCTGACTTTCAGCCATCATTCTTTATTGCTTCCTGTACATTTCGATTCATGCCAGCTCACAAAAACAAGAGTAAATTACTTCAACTCTTTTGGTGATTTTTTCCCCTCACATATGGGAACAGTCATTTTTTTTAGAATGTACACCAGTAGTAGAGTATTCTCTTTTGAGCTTCTTACATGAAAAAAAAAGTGAGATTTACATTTACATGAACAGGGAAGAATCCTGCCAGAATTTTTCAAAAGAGAAATGTCAGTACTTGTCTTGAAAAATTATTGGCTAACTATCATAGACTTTAGATCATTTTTTTCTTAATGAAAAATGCTACGACCGAATTAGCCAAATTAAATTCAACTCACATTTTACTACGAAACGTGTATTTTTGATTGACGTATGTAAAAGTATATGGATTCTCATATCATGCCAAGAGTTATTGTTACCATTTTTCATCATTCAAAGTCAGCCCGTCATATATCGATTGAAATAAAGTGATCTGTGGCCGGATATTGAACTGGCTACGTGAGTTAACCTTTGTTTTTTTTCGCAAGAAACCGGAAGAAAGAGACTGATACAAAATTTTTGCCAATTTTCAGAGTCACGACGTTCTCCAGTATAGTGAGTGAGGTCACATCGCCTTCAAAAAGGTTATGTACATGGCATCATGATCAATGTTTTATACCCACAACAGTCGATGATTAAATCCTTTCTTAGAACATGATCATATCAGCTCTGGTTTAATTTTTGATCTTGTATAAAGAAATGTTTATACTGATTAAAGAAAAGTGTAATCGGATGAGTCAAGCACGTTGCGCGTTGTCGAAAACGATAACAAAGTCGCTTGGCCTATCTAACGTCCTCAACATCAAAATTTAAGAATTTAGTTTGTCTGTTAATAACGAAGAGAAGGAAACTAAGCCACCGATATCAGACTTCGTTGACTTTACGCTGAGATTCTAACCAGCATCTTTGAAGTTCTTACGTGGTTAATCGTGTCATGTCTCAATTCCATCCAACATGTAAGACATACATCGATGCACTTGGCACAAAAGCCTTTCCGCGGGCGGCTGACAGGTGCGTTTTTCCGAGAATTTCTGGCACGGCCAGCTTCTCAAGATTCTGGGTTTTCGAGATCACTCCAAGACCACAAATCACGAATAATCATTCTTGCAAGAAAAACACTTATAAAAAATGAAAGGAACTTTTTTCATAGCTACCTTTATGTTCTTGCTATCTTTTTTCACGAATAATCATTCTTGCAAGAAAAACACTTATAAAAAATGAAAGGAACTTTTTTCATGGCTACCTTTATGTTCTTGCTATCTTTTGTAACATGATACAAGCTATCGCAATTGTGCCTTCAGTCAATCTATCATGGCTAGACGTGACTACTATACACTTAGGGGAGAGATCACTGTGTTTAAGGCGTCGTCACTCGGAAAGACATGAATCGAGGGAAATAAGCCAATCCCAAATAGATATTCACAACTTAACCTCTCATAACAGGAAATGACGTTCCCTGTTACAGATATTGACGTAAGAAGCAAAACTCTGCGTGTGCAAGTATCCAATATAAAAAGAACTAAGTTTCTACGTAGCTTAGAAGACAACCAACGATCAAGAACGTTGTTATCAAGAATCGATTAGGGCGGTTACTGACGTGCTGTTTTTTACAAATTCAAACATGGGTTCAAGACTGTTCCACCGTCTTGGTTCTTCAGCAGCCCTGTTTAGTGGAAAGATTGTTTTTTCTGGACAAACAAACGTCTAATTTCCTCTCTGCAAGAGGGGCAAGTGGTTGTGCGACTTGCAAAAGCAAGTGACTTTGACGAGGTACTTAAACTGTCTAAGAAACTTAAAGACACGTTTGACTATGTCCCCTACAGATTGCATAAATGGCTTCTGGAGCCCAACAGAATCTCTTTGGTTGCCGAAAAAGGGACAGAGGTAGTTGGTTTCGAAGAATGCTCCATCGTCGATGGGGAAAAATCAGTGCTTGTGGAAGCTGGAAGAGTTGATCCTAATCACAGACGTCATGGTATACTCGGTTTACTAAGGGCTCTTACACCTGTGCTTATCCGGGAAAAATTCCCAAAAGTTGTGCGTACCAGGTACACGGTGTGGTCTGGGGCTTATCAAGGAGTGAGAAAAACGAACCAAAAGCATAACATCTGCGATAAAGAACTGTACCACTATGATTTTTTAACCTACAAAGTTGAGCCAGAACATGTCAGTTTGAAATACAAGTTAGAAAACTGTCCGAAACTTCAACCTTGCCCAAAGGAAGAGTTTAAAAAACGCATTCTGGAAAACGCCAGCACCAGCTCTCTCTTTCCTAATAACATGCTCGTCATTGATTGGCAACCGTTTAAAGCTATCCCAGCCAACTTCAAATCCATCGTACAAGACCAGGATCGATATTTCGTCGATTCGTCAAACGGTCTTGCGAGAACTTTGACATCTTTTAGTTTGGGAAGATTTGTACAGCTTGTTCGTGGCATGATGTGGACATCGACCATCTACGCTAGGGACTCAAAGCTATGTCAGTCCCACGTGATCCATCAATTGATGAGTGCCTGTCAAACTGCAAAAGGAAGTTTTCTATTCAGCACCTTTCAAGATCCATCACTTACAAGGCATTGTGAAGAAGCCCTAACGGACATTCCGGGGGTTACAAAGATGAAGGAAGAAGAGTCTACCCAAAAGATGTTTATCTTTGAGGGTGAATAGCAAGATTAAGATAATACAATCAATGAATCGATTGTAGCAGTAGCTAGTTCCATGCTATTTTACGTATGGAGGTTAGGAAATACCTCTCAAGTATAAATACCCTTTTTCAATCTCGAAGACCTCTGATTTTCTGCTGGCGTATCTCTAATATCCCTTTTACTGCTTTTTTTATTGTTATTTTTCCTTGAAAAATTTTGGTTAAATGTGTTGTTTATCACAAATTTATACACAGCTAGGTTTAGATTGTCCTTAATTTATTTACCTACCTGTTTATACTCCTGATTTTACCATGTTTCTACTATCATTTTTATGTCCTTGATGATGTTAATTAATACCTCTCGCATGCAGTTTTTAAAAGAGACTGTTCAACTATTTCAATTTTTATGCCTTATAATACTCTCACACAGATTTGTACATAATCGGAGTAATCATCGTTCCATGTAAATGACGTACACTTACAGACTTATTAGCATTTTTCACTTTAGGTATTTGTCTTTCTAAATCTAATTTGGTAGATTTCAGATCTATCATTCACTAGATGTAGCACAACATCTTCCTTTTCTCATTATTCAATCAGTTATTGGTATTTTTATTCTTGGATATCGATTTTAACGCTAGAGCCTGGATGAAGATCGCTCTGTATAATTCTGGTTTACTTGGTCCAAATAAAGTGTTGTTGTTGTAGAGGTTGTTGTTCTTGTTCTTGTCGATAGCCTTGGGTCTTTATTGTTGGTTTCGTGCAAAATGGTATTGGAGACTTACATTCCCTCAGTCAATCATAAAAAGTTCATCTTGAACGTAAAAGAGAAGAGCTAATCTCTTCCCTTCCTCTAACATTCGTTTTAGAGAATTATTTTATGCCAGAGAATGTCGGGTTGCGGGCTAAATATCAAAAGGTGGTTTTTGCAATGCCGATGAATATTACAAAGCCAAAGAAAGGAAACAGAAATCACAAAGATTACATTCCTCTTCAAGTTTCCACCACCAAATTTTCGTGTTTATTTCCATGCATCGAAACAAATGGAAATTTTGAGTTAAAGCGGTAAAGCGTACTACGCCTATCGAAAGGCATCAAGGACTTACGACCTGAACTTTTTCAGTATTATTGAATCTGTTTTCCTGAAATTAAACATGGGCTGTCAGAACAACGATTCGAACACCTTCGCAGAAATGTCGCACATGAACAGCAATGTACATAATGATCAACTGAAAATCAATCCTCGACTGCCAAAGATAAAACAAGAACTTATGTGCGGGTCCATAATATATAGATTTAGCCAAGCCTAAAAGCGGGGCTCTTATTAGTTTATTTTCCAGCCCTACGTTACACTGAATAAAAACTGTAATAAAACTCTTCAGCACTGGCTGTAAAGAGAGTTTCTTCGATGGATTGAAAGACCAGTTCAGGGGGTGGGTAGGTGGGGAAGAATTGACGAAGTCTGGATCTGGGGACGGTGTTCTCACAACTACACACATACTAGTCAGCGGTATCTTCAGACAGCGTACGACCTTCATCGTTGTTCTTGATGTTGTGACCAAATTTTCGAAGATAGGGAGTGTTTTTTTCTTCAGATGAAGTGCATGCTGTCGGCATCAGTTGAAATTATATCCTATTGAGCGTGACTTATAATTTCGGTTTGGAAAAATGAGCCAAAATTGAAAGAAACGACAGTTAGCCACTTTGCGTTAAGACATTATAGGTGGATTGAGGTGTACACGTGCAGTGAGCACGGTAAGTCAGTAAAAACAATACGCCAGAATCGTATGAGCTTCTCATATATCTTCTCTTGAAGTTGCCAGGTATGACTGCTTACCCCATCGTTTTCCCCAACGTTTCAACCTCTAGAAAATTGAAAAAAAAAAAGTAATTTTCAACTCGTGTTTGAACCTGTGTAATTTTTGAAAACTTTTTTCGCTTTTGGCAACTCTTGTTTCATGTTTCATGATTGTCCTCTGGCTGGAAATAAATGACGTCTTTTTGAGATTTTTTCTGTTATTTAATTTGATAACCTCTGCCGTAACTGCATGTAATGTGGATGTCTTTTAGAAAACTTGAGCTGATACCTGGATTTCATTTTTACATCACAGAAATCAATTCCAAAGATCAATCAAGTTTTCTCTTAAGTTTAGAAGTTTAGTTGATGTTGTTATTGGCTATATTAAATAGGTTGAAAAGTTATAGATGGTATTTTCTTACGTTTGCAAATAATTGAAGTTACTGTCAACATGAAACGTAACAATACATTTTATTGATATGTAAAAAGTTTTCATCTGAATATCTACTGGCAAGTCTTTGTATTATATTTCAACCCAACCATTTTCCTCAACATGTAAACACTATTACAAAATAATTAGTCAGGGAAATGGAAAACTTGTGGCATATACACCATGTTTGAAATGCCATGTCCATAGTAAGCTAACAGGATTGAGGATGATGTATGTAGGAATAGGCTCTCTTGTCTGTATCAATAATTTGCTAATCACTCCTGTTGGCAATATTTTGATGAGGTTGGGTTGTCAGGGCAAAGGAACTGAGGATTTTAGTAGGCAGTGACTTTTTTTCAAACCTGGAAACTATCTGATATTGAAAGCCATACTTGTGCCAAGTAACTCACTTCTTATTCTGATAAACTAGTTTTAAGAAGGATACAATATTTCATAACAAAAACTTGATGCATAGGTTGTGCAAAAACTTTAATTTGACTATACTTTTATAGCCAATACCAGTCCCTTCACATGGTAAAATGTTAGGAGGATCAGAGAAAAAATAATGTGCCATACATCTGCAAGATTCGATGTAATTATTTTAATTACAAGAATATTAACTGATACTAGGAGATCTAATAATATTGAAAAAAAAATAAAATTTGGTTGAAAAATTAGAATTCAGCACAGGCTGGATAAACAGAATTCTTAGAAAAAGGAATGTGTACTAATGAAAAAGCTTAGCAAATTTTTTTTACAACACCTGCCTGTACCTATATGGCATGTAGTAAAGTCTTTTGAAGTAGTCATAATCCCAGTTTCATAGATTGAAAACACATGCACATGCAGATTTCCTGTAAACCTATAGTTTAAGCCTGTGATGACTTTGAAATTTTGATGCACAGCTCAAAAGGAGAACAAATAAATTTCATTTTTCTATTTATTCAGTTTAGGTTAGTGAGGTAAAATTGAGTCAAACATTCAAGATGTACAATGACAGGTTCAAGAAATTTTCACAACTAATTTTTATGGTTAGCCTACCTGGAACAATCATCTTGAACTGATGATGCCCAACAGAACTATCCGTGGTAAGAGGGCAGGGTTTCCTTTCTTCATTTAAAGAAATAATGATGTTATCATCTTTCCATGAGCTTAGTGGAAAGTGAGAGTGAACGAGACTGATAGTGTCTTTGTTACTTAAATGAATATCCAGACACCGTCTGCAAAACTCTCTTACTTTAATTTTTTAACCAATTAAGCTAAAGCTTTACATTCTTGCTTTGTGATTATGTGGATGCCAATTACTGGTAATTTAACTTTTATGCATCAAAATACAAAAAAATGTTCTCTTCACCTATGTGCCCTAAACATTACAGGGGAGGAGGCAGGTCAAATTAAAAACATGAATTAAAATAAAAGGGCCCCCATTCATTTCAGTCCTAATTAAAGGAGGATCCTTGTTTTTCCAGATTCCCACTCTTTTATACTCACATATCTTGTGACCAATTCCTTATTTTAATTTTCAGTTTGGGTAGGGCCATTGGTAAGAAACACCATACATTAATGAAAGCTTGAGCTAGTGTATTTCATGCAATCTAAATAATAATATTAAATGTTACAGTATGGTAACTTACACAGCAAAATTATATAATCACACAATTCCAAATAAAGGTTATTGACTTGCCTGCTTCAACTTTTGAGGGCTTATGGTACAGAGAATAGACATGGTAAACAGCTACAATTAATACAAAGTTGAAAGTTTGAAAGCTAAAAGATATACATGACAATCATCAGACCCTATGCATCCTAGTAAAAGAAGGGTCATTTACCACATCTTCTCCCAAATGTTCATGCCTATAGGAAATCATTCATTTTTGTCTCTAGGTTGTACTGTATTTACAATAGTTCTGCCAACACAAATGCATTTTTCTAAAGTTATCTCATAGCACATGACTGTACAGGTCAAGTGGAAAGTTCCTGCATGGGGACAAACATTTCAATTACCTCAGCAAACTGTAATCATCAGAATTGCAAGCCATGGTGTATTTACCAAGTGCTCAAGTTTCCAAATTAGTTACCTAATTCTTACAGTGGAGTTCAATCCTTTTTTAGGCTATCTTCAGCTTGATCATCCTGTTACTTGCGAAATCATCAAATGTTACTCAAAGTTATAATTTTTTTTAAAAAAATGTTACTCAGCATGTAAATGACACAAATATTTTGTCTTTGTAATTATGCAGGAAGTCTATTACTGGGCAGGATCTCTTGATGGCCTGCCACTACACTTCATAATACGGAGAAGGCAGCTAGTGGTGCGCCACAGTGAGCAATTACAGGGTCATGAGTACCTGGATGTAGGAGAAGGAGTAAGTACTTCGGAATCCTTAAATTAGGAGCAAATGAACAACATTTACTTTCACATCAGTTTGCCAATACTTTCTTGTCAAGACAGCAGCTACCTCCTCACTCATTCTTCAACTAAAAAGTACACTCTTTTTTTCTCTTGAAATTTATCACAGGAAGAAGAGGAGATAACTTCATCACTGCAATCGCAGGTAGGGAATGTAAGGTTCATGTAACTTGTACTGTCTCTAAATAGTAAAATTAGTTTAATTAGAGAATAGCCTAAACAAGGGGCATGATTTACTTAACTTGTCTAAGAGCAGTGTTGTAATCTAGTGTACCTTTTTGTTGCTTATTTTTAAAAAAATATGTTTAAAGGAACTAAATTTCGCTAAAAATTGCCAAATTCTGATCTTTGTTAGAGAAACAGTCTCAGAATTGACACAAATGAACTAAATTTGTCATGGCAATAGTTTCCAATGACACTGAACAAAACTATCTGAAAAAATGAAACTGAAAACAGTTCGACAAGTTCCTCTGCAACAAAGCATTCAAGGACTTCAGGACAGTCTTTTATAGACTTTAATGTCATCAGTACTCATTCATGATTCCATTTACTGTTGGATTTCTGCTGAATACCATTTCATAAACTGGCCCTTCATGAAGTGTTTGCCTCTCCATTGGCAGTAAGGTTGAGAGGCTGGAGGAAATGTGTGTTGTTTGGAGGATCTGACACATCCTCAATATTCAGTGATGCCAACTTGGACAAAACCTAGTTGTCAGTTTTTTTGTCCACTAGATACATCCCTGACAAGCAAGGCTTTTTGCATTGATTGCAGTCTCAGCTCCTTTTGTTTTTGATCACTATAATTATCTATCAGCATAGGCATTTCTGCTTCATTTGATTGTTGTCTTGGATTCTGTGAAATTGCAAACTGGTTTGAAGCCACTTGACTGGCTGGCTGGCTGGCTGGCTGGCTGGCCGGCTGGCCGGCTGGCTGGCTGGCCGGCTGGCTGGCTGGCTCTGGCTTTCCCTTGATATATAAACTGCATTGGCAAAAAATGTCCCAACAGTGAGATAGTAGAGGTAAGAATAATATTCCTCTTGTCAGTGAGCCATGAAGCCATTGTCATTTTTCCCATGGAAACATATGAACAAGAGGTTTGGTCAGCATTTAGCACCAATTCAGGAGGGATGTTTTGTTGAGTGATTACTCTGTTGATGTAGGTAAGGAAAGTGAGCTTGTTCTCCATGTACATTCCTCAAGGCACTGGTGGCCATCTTAAGTAGTTCCAGCTCCATGTGAAAAGTTATCTTATCTTATCTTTACCCAGGGTACTATGGGCTAGAATTCTGGCAAGTTGGTCATACAGATTTCTGTTGACAAAGGCCAGACCAGTTCCTTCTATGACAGAATAATTTATTACTCTTTATCTACTTCTCATACTTTCAAGAAGGGAAATTAATTTGCTGTCTTGTTCAAGGCAGTTTGGTGGACAACGTCATGTGTCTCATGGGATAGCAAGAACTTGAGCTTCAGCATTTCTTCTCTTTCCTTCCTCTTTGAGCTTCTTCTCATAGGACTGCTTGAAAGTCCAAACCATTCTTTCCTTCAAGGTGTGAATCTGTGGCCTTGAAGTGCTCAATGGCTTTTGAATTTTCCATTTTCACTAAATAATAGTGATTGCAATTTTCTCTTTTCCTTACTGCTGTTGAGGAATTCTCCAAATGGATATTTGCAATAAACACCACAGCCAATACAATGTTTTGCTACAAGACAGAGCCCAGCTAACTGATTTCTTAGAAGTTGGTGCATACACCATTTTCTGCACATCCTGGCTCCAGGTTTTTTGGGATTTTGAAGCAAAAGCAGAATGATGCCAGCTTGTCAACTATAAACTTAAAAAGTGATTTGTACTGAATTACACATTACCTTGCTGATTATGGCATGCATGCCTGCGAAAAGTCTATAATCTTACCCACCAGCATATTGTGTGATTTAAGTCCTAGCAAAATAAGTAAGAAATAGGTTGTTAATTAATATATGAGGTCATGCTACCCTTTATACAACACTTGGAGGATAGGCATGCTAACAGGTCCCTCATTGGTATGCATCATGTATTTGTGTAATGTTTAAATATAATGACATGTTAGCTTAAAAAAAGGTTCATGTTTTACATTTCAATAAGTTTGGTCATGCTTTAATATAAATTATTGATGAGTATTATTTGGGAACATGTACGTTTAGAGAAGCAATTCTACAAACAATGAGTCTCACAACCATAAAAAAATCAAGTTAAGTAATGGTCTTGTTTTCATTTCAATTATTGAGGAACACCATTTGGGAACATGTAAAGTGTACACAATTATGAGGACATGTTACTTAATGCAATAGGGATAGATTGACATCCCTTGTTCCCTGACTATGAGAATAACATTATAAATTCCCCTCACCAATACTTGGGGTGGAAAGACAAATCCACTTATTCCCAGTCTCCTTGTGAACATTAACAGTTGAAGTGGACAGACACAACCCTTGGGGGTAAACGGTCAACCACACCCCTAGAGAGGAGGCTCTTCATAAGCATCCACACTTGGGGTAGACAAAAGTGCCCCTTGGAACGAGCCTCTTTGTGAGCATTGACACTTGGGGTAGACAGAAAAGCTCCTCAGGATGTGACTCTTCATGAGTATTGACACTTGGGGTAGACAGAAAAGCTCCTTGGGACGAGGCTCTTTGTTAGCCGCAACACTTGGGGTAGACAGAAAAGCTCCTTGGGACAAGGCTCTTTGTTAGCCGTGACACTTGGGGTAGACAGAAAAGCTCCTTCGGACGAGGCTCTTTGTTAGCCACAACACTTGGGGTAGACAGAAAAGCTCCTTGGGACGAGGCTCTTTGTTAGCCGCGACTCTTGGGGTAGGCAGAAAAGCTCCTTGGGACAAGGCTCTTTGTTAGCCGTGACACTTGGGGTAGACAGAAATCTCCTTGGGATGAGGCTCTTTGTTAGCCGTGACACTTGGGGTAAACAGAAAAGCTCCTTGGGAGGAGGCTCTTTGTTAGCCTCAACACTTGGGGTAGACAGAAAAGCTCCTTGGGACGAGGCTCTTTGTTAGCCTCGACACTTGGGGTAGACAGAAAAGCTCACTGGGACGAGGCACTTTGTTAGCCACAACACTTGGGGTAGAAAGGAAAGCTCCTTGAGATGAGGCTCTTTGTTAGCTGCAACACTTGGGGTAGACAGAAAAGCTCCTTGGGACGAGGCTCTTTGTTAGCCTCGACACTTGGGGTAGACAGAAAAGCTCACTGGGACAAGGGTCTTCGTGAGCATTGACACTTGGGGTAGACAGACATGCCTCCCTCTTCACAAGCATTGACACAAACAATGTCACTTGTTCTATTGTTTAAGCAATTCTATAGATAGTAGCAGTCAGTTTTACTGTATAAAGTGTATGAAGTGTTTTAAAATTTGTAAATTTAATCAATGAAGGATGGTGTGATGCTCAAAGGAACAATGTGTATTTTAATTATGATAGCTATGCAGGACTCCTTTGAGCAGCACACTCCCTTCCCTTGTTTTACTTGCAGGTGTCCTTCTTTGGGAATTTTCCTGCCAACAACAACAACCTTTCTGCAACTGTAGTAGGTAAGAAAACCTTGATTTTCATTAACCTGTAAAAGAAATAGCATTCTTAGTCCTCCAATGAAAATGCTTGTAGAACGATTACCACCCCCTGGTGATATATACATAGTATGACAGTGGCCCACAAAATATTATTTTGTTTGAATAATAACAAACTCAGGGTTTCAGCTAAACATAAAAATTGTGAGCAAGAAACACATAGAACCAAGTAACTCAACATGTTCTGTATGATCATAGATGAAAGCCAAGCTGTGGGAGATGCAGAGAAAGAAAAAGGGACTAAGGAAGAAGATCAAGATGAAAAGCAGGAAAGAGAAAAGGAAGAGGAAAAAGGAGTAAGTAATGAAGAAGAAACATTGGAAAATGGAGATAAAGGAGGGAATGGAGGAATAGCAGCTGGAGTAGTAGAAAAAGAACATGAGGAAATGAAAGGAGAGAGAGAAATTAAAGAAAAAGAACAAGGTACAATAAAAGAAGGAGGGACAGGAGGACAACAGCCAAAAGAAAGAAGGCAAAAAAGGACCCTTCAACATAAGAGAAATTTGGTAAGATTATGAGTACACAGAGTGTAAAAGTGTGATACAGATAAATGCTGCGGCATTTAACACAAATTTAAACTCTTTATGTAATGCATGCAACAGTGAAAAGCTTTCAATCAAAAGTCTGTCAAGGAAAAACAAGAATATCAAAAATGGATTATGTACATAGGCTAGTAACAGTTGACTTTTGTTCCTGAAATCAAACATGCTAACCAGAAATTTACAATTATAATTAGCAGAACAATGTTATGATTTGTAAATACATTGATTTTGTTTTTGAAGGATTGTGACGGCACCTGGAATTGAGAACGACGAAAATGGCAGACTTCATATTAGTTAATTTATTATTCACCTCCTCAACTTGTATTAATTTCATGAACAGGTCATAAAATGTTCAATTCAGTTAAAAAAAAAAAAAAGTGAACTAGCATTTTTATAATGTATAATTGTACAGCCCAAAATGTCTTCCTTGTGTTTGTCATGACTGCCAATTAAAGATATGGCTTTTGCAGTCTATGAAGAGGGCTAGGTCAGGCCGTTTAAAAACCAGGGTTAGATCAACAAGCATTGATTATTTTGTTAAAAGTGAACTGTTGCAGTTGTTTAATGGCTTTTTGGTAGATCTATTAACACATTAATAACTGGATTGAACATTTAGTGGAAACCTCCTCTATAAAAATAGAATGTGTGTTCTATTTTTATTATATAAGCTCAATACACTTTCGTGTTTCTATTTTAATTGGTCTTTTGTAACGAGGAAAAGGAACAGAACTCTAATGAAATATGAAAATATTTTGGAGAATATGACAAAAAAAGTCTGAAAAGTAATGTATGTTAGTGTCATTAGTGTCATTTCCTTCTTCTCCTTAGCAGTATAAATCATTCTTTGCTCTTCTTCTGTCACTCTTCTTCTTTTTTTTCGAATTCGACCGAAAACATACTCCTAAAGAGTCCCGAATCCACGAACTAAACTCGACAAATTTGCCAGAAACATGGCTGTACCGTTGCACTTATGTCCTCTTATTGCAGATATGTCCTCTGACGTAATGTGATACAGTGGCCAGTCATATCCTGCGATCTATCGAGCGACACGCGGTTTGAGACTGGTTAAGAGACTCCGTTGTAGTTATGTCTTCAAGCAAAAGTACTCATTCAAGGGGGTCGGGATAAGTGGAAAATTTGACCAGTATTTTCCGGTAACTGATCTGAGGAAAACATGCTGTTTGCATGATCACTGCGGACCGGATCATTGGTCGCTCATATTGCTTTCCTTGAAGTTCAATCGTTCGTTAACGCAGAGTGATTGCATCGTTGTTATAACCTAAACTTGGAAGAACAATTTGCTGCGCGTGAATAACAAAGCGACTTTCGACCAAAGGATGCGTTATTGTTCACGTTTTATTTGCAGCCTTGCTTTATTTACAGTCTTCATTGCTCGACTTGCGACTTCAATGACAACATTTAAGCCATAAGTTAAGACAAAAGCACAATGTGGCGTCATATCACAATTCCTTTATTTTCTTTAATAGTTGAAGATCATAGATTATGGTTCGTCGACATAAAATTATATATTTTTGACACTTCACCTGATCTGCCGGAGGTGAGATCGACTGAGAAGTCCAAGTTGTGATTATTTATCTGCGTCACGACGTCTTCCTGCAATCACAGAAGTTTGGCCTTCAGTTGTTTATTTTGAGTACTGTTGGTTTTTGCCGTATCGCAATGAGCCCTCCGTTAAAAAAATTGAAGTAGTAGATTGTGATTTTATTGCGGTTCCGCTGATTTTAGCTGTTTGTTTTTTTTTTTTTTTAGCACTGTTTCTAAATTATGGTAGGATTTATTGCACTTTTGGGTGGATTTGTCCTATTTTACCCTGTTTATGACAAATTCACACAATAATTAAATCGAAAATGGGGCTAAAGGTGGCTATGGAAAGTCAATAGGATAGAATCCACCTAAAGGATGAATTTCACAGAATTTATCCCGTTTCTCAAGAATTCATTGGAAAAAAATTGAAAATCGGGTTGAAGATTGGATATGACAACTTGGGATCTATTCCATTTGGAGGATAGCTTTTCAGATTTTACCCTGTTTTTTGTCAAATTCACTGAAAAAAATGGAAAATCGGAGTAAAAATAGCATATGGGAACTTCGGGTATTATTCACTTGTAACATGAATGCTCAGAATTGACCCCGTTTTTCTCGAATTCACTTATCAAATGGAAAATCGGGGTAAAGATGGCATATGGGAACTTAGCGTATTGCTATCACTTGCGGGATGAGTTCGCAGAATTTATCCCGTTTATCTAGAATTCATTGAAAAAAAAATGGAAAATCGGGTTGAAGATAGCATGTGAGAACTTAGGGTACTATTCACTTGTAGTATGAATGCTTAGAATTTACCCCGTCTTTCTCGAATTCACTGATCAAATGGAAAATCGAGGTAAAGATGGCATATGGGAACTTAGCGTATTGCTATCACTTGCGGGATGAATTCGCAGAATTTATCCCGTTTATCTAGAATTCATTGAAAAAAAAAATGGAAAATCGGGTTGAAGATTGGATATGACAACCTAGGATCTATTCCATTTGAAGGATGAATTCTCAGATTTTATCCCGTTATTCTATAGAATTTTCAGGAAAAAAATGGGAAATAGGGGTACAGATAGCATATGGGAACTTCGGGTATTATCCACTTGTAGCATGAATGCTCAGAATTTACCTCTTTTTTTTCTAAAATTCACTGATCAAATGGAAAATTGGTGTGAAGATAGCATATGGGAACTTACGGTATTAGCTACTTGAGGGCCAAATTCTCAAAATTTACCCCGTAATTCTAGAATTCATTGAAAAAAAAGAAAAAAAGTGCAAAATCGGATTAAAGATTGGATTTGGCAACCTAGGATGTATTCCACTTGAAGGACGAATTCTCAGAATTTATCCCGCTTTTCTAGAATCATTAAGAAAAGAAACTTTTTTTAAAATTTGTAATTTTTCCTTTTTTTTCATTTTTCAGTAAGACTAGCGAGCCACACAAAGTAGTTGTAAGCTCCTCGTTTATTTCCGATGCGTTTCGTCTGTAATTGAGACTTCTTTAGAGAATGACTACAAGTAACGGGGAACAGTATATTACATAGCACGTTGGTGTGCCTAAGTTTTTAATTTCCATGGAAGTTAATAATAACTGAAAGCGGGCGTTATAAAAAACGTCTAAATACATATTAAGTTATTGTGCGTTGCTTTATTTTTGGGGGCTAACGATTAGCGCTAATCGTAGAATTTATCGCTGAAAAAAGAAATGGAAAATTGGGGTAAAGATGGCATATGGGAACTAAAGGTATTATCTACTTGTAGCATGTTCTCTCAGAATTTACCCCGTTTTGCTACAATTTATTGAAAAAAAATGGAAAATCGAGGTTGGATATGGCAAGTCAGTAGGATAAATTCCACTTGGAGGATGACTTTTCAGAATGAACCCCGTTTTTCTATAATCATTGAAAAAAAAATGGAAAATCGGGGTAAACTAGATTAGATGTGGCAGGTCAATAGGATATATTCCAGTTGGAGGATAATTTACTAAAAATTTGCCCCGTTTTTCCATAATTCCTTGAAAAAAATTGAAAAATCAGAGTAAAGATGGCATATGGGAACTACGGGTATTATCCACTTGTAGCATGAATTCGCAGAGTTTACCCTGTTTTTCTGGAATTAATTCACTAAAAAATGGAAAATCAGGAAAGATTTGACATGACATGATAGGTTATATTCCACTTGCGGGATGATTTCTAAGAAATTGTTCCGGTTCTCTAGAATTCACGAAAAAAATGGAAAATCTGAGCAAAGATGGCATTTGGGAACTTCGGGTAATATCCACTTGTAGCATGAATTCTCAGAGTTTACCCTGTTTTTTTGGAATTAATTCGTTAAAAAATGGAAAATCGGGGTAAAGATTGGATATGACAACGTAGGATATATTCCACTTACGGTATGAATTCTCATAACTTACCCCGTTTTTCTGGAACTCATTGAAATAAAAATGGAAGATCGGGTTGAAGATTGGATATGGAAACTTAGAATGCATTCCACATACGGGATGAATTCTCAGAATTTACACCGTTTTTCTGGAATTAATAAGAAAGAAACGGAAAATGAGGGATGTTCCGAGTTATAATTTATTCCAATTTTAAGATAAATGGACACAATTTAGCCCGTTTTCAGAATTCATTGAAAATTCATTTGGCATGTTGGGATATATTCTTTTTATTAGATGAATTTTTTTTCTAGAATTCTCTGAAAATAATGGAAAATCGGAATTGTCTGATTTTACCCCATTTTTACAGAATTCTTGGAAAAATGAAAAGAACCGGGACAAAGATTGAATATGACAAGTTAGGATGTATTCCATTGACAGGATGAATACTCAGATTTTACCCCGTTTCCAGAATTGACTCAACAAACGGAAAATCGAGGTAAAGATTGATTGATATGAACAGCTAGGATGTATCCCACATGTGGGATTAATTGTCAGATTTTACCTTACTTGTCTTTAATAAACGAAAAAAAATGGAAAATTAGGCTAAAGATTTGATATGGTAGAATTAGAAACTCGGAGTAAAGATAGCATATGGGAGCTGAGGGTATTATGAACTCTCAGAGTTTACCCTGTTTTTCTAGAACTAATTCATTAAAACAAAGGAAAATCGGGGTAAAGATTTGACATCCCAACTTAGGTTACATTCCACTTACATGATGAATTGTCAAAACTTATCCCGTTTTCTAGAATTCGTTGAACAAATGGAAAATCAGGGACAGATTGGACATTGCAAGTCATATTAACCACTCGTGGAAAGAATTGTCACGATTTACCCCGTTTTTCTAGAGTTATTTGAACAAATCGGGATGAAGATTGGATATGGAAAAGTTATGATATTATCCACTCGTAGGTTGGTTCAGAAAATGGAAAATTTGGGTGAAGATTGGATTTGGCATGTTAGGATATATTCTACTTGCTGGATAAATTGTAAGAATTCAATGAAAAATGGAAAATAGCGGTCAATATTAGATATGTCAAGTTGGAATACATTACATTACGAGCTATTTGATTGTTTTGATTTTCGAATGTGCTTAAGACATGGAAATGCATAGGAATGAACAGATTTACCGCATTTGCAAGTTAGATCGCCGGAATTGCATCCTTTATTCGCGTCAAAGAGTGTTGGGATGGGGGTTGGTGTCGGAAGGTTACCCTCGGGCGAAGTCAATAATTTTAGCCGGTACATTGTAGAATCCCTGCACAAAGCCTGGAGATTATTGGACAAATATCACTGAGTCTGAGGAGATTTTTATCGCTGGAAAAGAGAATGTAGCCTTCCCTATAAAATACTTATCAGTCTGCAAGTTCTGATGCTATGTTTCACCACTGTGATGTTCTGATTGTTGAGACCGGTCTGTATATTACTCACACCCTTGGAATTTAAGTCAATTTAGCGTTAAAAAAGTTTGCAGACAATTGGAAATTTTCCCAGAAGTCGCTGTATACACAGATGCATGTGCATACATTGACGGCAAACTATTGATTTATCTTTGCTTGACAAGCAAAGTGTACATCTACGTAGAGGACTACGGGTTCTATGCACCGTCAGATAAAACCTTGTAACAGAATATTTAGAGTCGAGTGCAAAGGAAGCCATTCCAAAAGGATCTCATTCCAGAGAGACATCTGCTCAAAAAGCAGGATGCTTATATGAGAAAAGAAAAGAAAACCAAACTTCAGTAATTCAGATTTAATTAAATTTTTAACAGATGACAATATTAACAAGCATTACTTTCTTGTCACTATTAACATGCATCACGAAAGAGACAATTGAGCAATAACTATTATTCATGCTAATACTAAGTCAAGGCTTTGTCACAGTTTCTTTCTCAAAAAGATATTGCAGAATATATACAGAATATAAAGAGTGATTTTATCCAACCGGTGAAATAAACTACTGTGCATTACAAAATTTTTGGTTTATGTCATGTTTTCCACACACAACATGGGGTGATCCAACAATCAAACATGCGTGCTGGTGTCATACAGGTTTGTTTACATACTGTTTCATGGGTTGAGTAAAATCACTCTAGTTGTTCCTTTTTTAATGTTTCATATAAATTTTGGTCACACTTTTCCTGCTATGATATCCTTCGTTGATAAAATCATCTTGATAAATAGGCTACACTGTAAGTGTTTGGAACAAATAAACACTTTTTTGTGTCATTTAAGCAGGAGTGATTGGTGCTAAATATTTTTTCTAACCACATGTGCAAACCGTAATTAATCTAACTCAAAATTCAGGCTTAAATTGCTCATCTAACAAACAAATGGGTAGTTAAAAAAAAAAAACTCCTTCAGTTGTACTTGAACATGCAACACTTCCATGGAAATAAACATCTTCAGTACAAATAATTCAAGTAAATAACTTCAGGTGAAATGGGGATTTTTTGGAATTTGTGAAATATAAAGTAGACTACAGTGCACTAATACATAATAAATCCATTCTATCCTTTAAATCACTTGCAACTATTTGGCTCTAACTGTTCAATACTATTTGACAGATTACAGAAAGTAACTGTTTCTGTCCTTCCAATTTGCCCTTATATACTTATGAATAAAATAAAGCAGTTGACACCAGATCAAGGAGTCAAGGCTATTTTATTCACCCATTCACTCATAACGGTTGGTAAGATTTCTTTTTTTATATGGGTTGCTGTAAACGTAAAGATTTTAAATAAATTCTTTGCAATTTAAATGTTTGTGTCATTTTTTAAAATTTTACTGCTCTGGAAATGCACTGGATATAAAACTCTGGAACTAAACAACTCCAAAGGAGGTTTTGTGGACAAATTCATGGGTCTGATGTGAACATGCTTAAGAGGTCACATTCTCTATTGATGTTCTCTGGCCATGTCTAAGTACTATTCACAATTTGGAGCTGGGGAATTTTGGATAACTTGAATTAAGCATGCTTCAAAACCCAATTGAAACTGTTAGAGTGAACACATGACCCGTTAGGTGTTTAATTACTAGTATTACACTGTGCCAAATAGCTGTCCTTTACTGATTTTATTTAAAATTACAAAAAGTCTTTCTCCTCAAGTTGCCTCCATTTCCAGTCTCTCCACATTCCATAATGATGCTGTTCTGTAATGCTCAATAAGACCCATCCATCACTATCAACTTGCTTTAAGATACTTGCCACATCTGTGGTCTCCTTGGTCCAAAATTCCAAGGCTCTATCCCACTTGTAATGAAAAATCTTTGTCTCAACCTACCCATCCTTGCCTGCCTCCAGTAATCAAAATTTACCATTTCTTCTGTTGTTATCACTGCATGGTAACACCCTCTTGGAACATTTATCCCTTTCTCCTTCCTTAGTTTGAAAAGATATTGCTCAGTGATGGCATTAAGGCCTTGGAATACCTTCCTTCCTTCTTTCAAATAGAGAATCTGTAGGGTTGGAATCTGTGAAGAAAATCAGTCTCCATTAGAAAAGAAACTTTAATGACACTCAGCTGATGAAAGACTGTCTTTACCAAATTGGTATTAAAATGCACATTTGGCCTACTTTCATTGGGTTGGTTGGACTTCTTTGCTAATAATAATATGCTATGAATTAACTCAAGGGACAATGAAAACAATCGTATCCTTCTGTTAACCCAACAAACCAATTTAGCAATCAAAGAAGGAACATCAATCATTAGATGTATTTATAATAATTTCCCTTAAAATTTATTGCAGACATAGGGCAATAAAAAACATCCAAAACTGGTCATCAAAGGACACATAAAACAAAAGCAATAGTAATTATAATTGTAATAATAGTCACAATAATAATAATAATAATAATAATAATAATAATAATAATAATAATAACAATAATAATATTCCCCTAAACTACTTGGCATGTTACAAGAACATCTCTGCATAGTATAAAATAATGATAATGATGATATTCCCCTAAACTACTAAACATGTTACAAGAACATCCATGCATAGTTTTAAGCAATAATAATAATAATAATAATAATAATAATAATAAAGTAAGAGAAAACCTAAACAGAAGAAAACTATAAATCACTCACAAATTCTGCATACCTCATAAGAAGCATCTTTGGGAGGCTTGAGGAGCTCAAACAGGACAAAATCTTCATCATCTGGTTCACTGGCTATAAAAAAGCACACAATGCTTTCAGTAGCAAATAAAAAAAAACAAAGAAGGTTTATAGAGATAAATAATTATGGAACAATGTAGCAAAAAACTCATCTTACAAAAACAAAAAGACAAAGAGTGAAAATGGTCAACATAATTATTAACTACCTTGAATATTGTTTTCCTTTGACAGCTGTGTCTTTGTCCAGTAGTTGAATGTCTAATGGTGAAAGAGGAGGGGGGAGAACAAATAAATCATCATTCATATCATCATAATCCTCCTCAAAATCTAATTTATACTCACCAGGAAAAGCAACACCAAAACCAGCAGAAACCTCTTCCATGGTTTTTCCAGGACTAAATGGACTCACTCCTGTTTTGCATTTCTTGATTCCATCTTCACCTATTCTTGCACTGCTGTCTTCACCAGCACAATGCACAAAACAGTATCTGCCAGTTTTTCATAAACATATTTCTGGCATCCATTGAAGCTACAATCTACTAAAAAAATATAGTATTTGTGAATAAGTACTAGCTATCTATGATTGCTACCTTTAACATACATTTATTGATTAACCCTTTACACCCTAACATCAGTAGGCATATTCTCCATACCATTCTCTATACATTTCCTGAGCTGTTGACAAGGAGAATTTGTTTAAAAATCAAGAGCTTTATAAGTTGTTGGTCATTTCCTTGATTCATGTGGGATGTGGGGTGATTTTGTAAGGAGAAATTAGAGGCTGGCCACTCACTTTAGCTAGTAAAGCAGATCCTATTTAATGTTCAGAGATGACCTTTCTACAAGTAACTGGAGTTGAGGCAATGGAAGATATTATTGCACGCTCAGTGTATTGTAGCATAGTATTTAAAAGTTTCCTGTTTCTGAATTCCAGCAGTGGATAACTCTTGTATTCCAGCACCGTTATTTTCCAGCCCCTCTCAGCTGTTCTCAGTTTCTCAGCAGGAGTTAACTGTTGTATTCCAGTACTGTTAATTTCCAGCCCCACACAGCTGTTCTGAGATTACCAGCAAGGAATAAATATTCTTTTACAGTACTTACTTGTATTTTCCTGCCCCTGCAAGCTGTTCTGTCTTTTTTGTTTTCCAGCTGGAGGTAACTGTTATTTCTAAGCACAATTATTTTCTGGCCTTTCTAGGTTGATTGGAGTTTTCCCGCTCGAGTTAACTTTTATTTTCTGTAAAACAGAATAATGTACATAAGGACCCAGGCTTGAAGTGAAGAAACCTTCCTTGGAAACCTTGGAAACAAGGCAATAACATTTTTAATTGCTCAGATCAAAACCAAAAAATTTTATTGTTTGTTAAAAACAATGTTATATAATGTTAAATGTTACATAACGTTAAAAATATCAAGGCCAACAGTAATTCTGAACACAAAATTTAATAAATTTGACACCTGTGGAGTATGTAGCATCGCTTATGAATGAGACAAGAATGTGCTTTTAAATTTCCATCATACCTGAATAATGTCTGTGTAAAATTTGAGCTCAAATGTACTATTTTTAACTTATAAATCTACTCCTAGTAAGAGGCCCTGGCAACCTATCTTTACATGTAACTGCCAATAAAATAACCCTGCATCTTCATAAAGATATAAGTAAGCTTTTAAGGCCTTCCTGACATTGTATTAAAGCATGGCCTCACAAACTTTTTCTTTTAGCTCCACCGATAAAAAACATTAGGGAAAGTCAAATAACCAACAAGCACAACAAGTACTTAAATACTAAGTTAGCAATTGACTGAGACACCATTAGCACCACAATAAAAAATACAAGAACCCTCAACTGGCTGAAACTTACATTATTCAGTTACATACTATTCTTCCCACATTTCCTTATAAATTAACCTATATTTAGTGGATACCTCT